ATTGATCAATTACCAATTTTTTAATAATTAGCTGTTAAGTTATTAATTATTTACTACTAAGCTATCAATTGAATTACTACTAAGTTATTTATGATTTACTATTAATTTATCAATAAATTACAATATATGAGATAATTTTCTTTTTATATAATAACATCATTGTTTCATTCAAATTTAGAATTTTTTTTACTAATTTTTTTTAATGAATAAGTTCATAGTAGGTTTATTCTAGTTCCTAATGATGAAAGTTCTAGCTTTGCTCTTTCTAGCAACCAAGGTTCAATCACAGGTAACTTCAAGTATAGAAAAAATGTTATCACTAATTAACAAATAAGTTATCAATTACATATTACTATCTTATCATTGATTATTTCTAAATTATCATTAATTTATCACTAAGTTATAGATGATTTATTACTAAGTTATAAATGATTTATTACTAAATTATTAATAATTTACTATTAAGTTATAGATAATTTATTATAAAGTTATTACTAATTTACTATAATTTATTATAAAATTATTACTAATTTACTATAAAGTTATTGATGATTTACTAAGAAGTTGTTAATAATTAACTAATTTACAACTAAATCATTATTAATTTATACTAAATTATCATTGATTTACAACTAAGTTATCAATAATTTGCTATAACATTATTAGTGATTTACTACTAAATTGTCAATAATTTACTATAAAATTATCAATGATTTACTATATACTATTATGCATTTGCTACCATGTTATCATTGATTTACTATTGAGTTTTAGTGATTAACTGCTAAATTATTATTGATTTATTTCTAAGTTATTTATGACTTTGATATTGTTTGGAGTTCATTTTTTTTATGTATATATCACAGATGATATATGTATTTATATATAATAAACACACTCATAAAAGTATAAATAATTATTAAATAGATACTTTCATGATAAAAATGTAAATCAATAATCATATACTTTAAGTATACAAACAAATAAAATGAAATGAACTATAACATTATTGTTTCAAAGAATATAATAATTGATTAGAAAACTAACAAAGCTTTGATTATTCAACAAAATGCACATAATTAATCAATATTTTTTACTATCAAAAAACAAAAATATGTTAGAGTATTCTTAATTGAAAAAAATAAATTTATATTTTTCAAGAAAAAATCATAAAATATATTGATAATATAAATTTTAAATTTTACAAATGAAGTTAGTAGTGTGACATATACCTTTTAGGTTTTATAGTATATTAAAAAAATAAATTAAAAAAAATGAGTAATGTGTTAATTTCTTAACCCATTTATGAAGATAAAAAAAATTCAATTAACAATATATCAAATAATTTCTTTTCTTCAAGATTAATATTTCTTAGCAATATTGACTTTGATTTCATAACAATATCTTATGGACTAAATATTTTACATTAACTATAAAAAATTAAGGATAGACCGAAATTAACTTAGGTGTAGTATAGAATCAATCTATAGAAGATAAAATAAAAACTAAGTTTAGTAACAATTCAAGGGTACATGAGATTATGTTCATAAAATAAACATTCATTTAAGCATTATAATGTTAATGTGTGATTGCATAGAGTAACTAAAAAATTATAAGCAATCATTGCAATCATTAAACATAAAAATTTATATTTATCATAAAACTAAAAATAATCAAACATATAAATTTACCATAAAACACGTATTACTCTTTTTGAATAATTTTTTTATAATTTAATTTATAATTTTGTATGAACTTTAATTTAGTATGAACTTTAATTTCGATTAATCTAAAATAAATAAACAAAAAATATAAATATATTTAAGGACTCATGATATGTGCCATTAAAAAAGATCAAGAGTAAATTAGATTATATCTTGAAAATGAAAAATTATATGCTTTACTTAAGATAAAGTTAAATGCTTTGGGGTATACACATTATGTTCTAATAATTTAGACTAAAATAATTAATAATTGAGAAACAGGAAAAAAATTTTATCTATGTTTTGTTCAATTTTATGGATTTATGGTATGTCACAGCCCATAGGATGATAATCTGTTTTATATTAATTTGATTGAATTATTACTTATAAAATTTAACAAAAGAATTTTAATTTTGGACAATAGACCCATCATATCCCACAAATAAATTTTTAATATAGTTTAATTTGATATATATTTTATTTGTAAATTTTTAATTGATTTAAATTTAAATAACTAACAAATAAAAAGCTATATTTTTAATGACAAATAATCTTTATTAAATAAATAAAAAAATGCTAGAAATTGAAATATAAATTTGTTGTTTTTTAAAATTTATAAAGACATTTATGTTATTCATTTTTAACACTTTTAGATTTAAATTTAAATAACTAACTAATAAAATATAGATTTAATGATAAATAATCATTATTAAATAAATAAATAATGCTAAAAATTTAAAGTAAATTTGTTATTTCTTAAAATTTATAAATGTATTTATGTCGTTCACTATTAATATTTTTAGAGTTCACACTTATATATATAGATGATATTTAATTTATATATAAAAAATTAATCATTTTTTTGACATAAGATGATTTAATTTTATGAAAGTAAAAAAAATTATTTTTAATTATGATATTAAATTTATATATCTTATTATATTTTTTAAATTGCATTAATAATTTAGATTTTATAAATTTTAAAAAAATAATTTTGACTAATAAATAAAATTATCTTATAATAATTCTAATAATTTTAATACATATCAAACATAAAATATAACAATATTATTTAATATAATTTTATTTATAATTATTATTTTATTTTATCACCTCATGATTTTATGCTTAAAACTTTTATCCTTATGCACGCCCAAAAGGCCAAAGTCGACCATAGTTTTCAACCAAATTGGCCTTAGAAGTTGGAAGTATTAATGCAAGCGATCAAGTGATATTGAAAGTTGGAAGCCCCTAGGCTCTTCCCAATAACCTACTCTACACTCAATTACTTATAGTTAGCATACATTTAATAAAGACAGAAAATAATTAGGATTTATATATTTGCTGGGGAATAGACTATATTTATTAGCTAGTGGGTACTATGCCCCTATTTCCAGGGCAATGTGTATGGCTGTGATCATTTGAGATGACTCTCTTCAGATTACTTGTAAGATTGGGATGCCTAAAGGATTCTTCTATTTATTTATTTGTGTCCCACAAATTAGATTCCTTTCTTGTCTCTCCAATCAATAATGAAACATTGTTTCTTACACTGACATTAACAACAAACAAAAGAATCATAGATTCTAATCCTTAACTGAAAGATCTACCTCTTCCCCTGATTAAGTTTAGAAGTGATGTTCGTGGTCTTATTCATTTATGGGGATTTTAATTTATATATCTCTTTCTATTTTCCCTTCACACTCGTAATAGACAGAAGATGAAAGATAAGGTGAATGACCTCATTGACAATTTCATGCTTGCACATCTTTGCCACTGTTTTGGTGTGCTAAAGGCTTATTAGTTTACTTTGTCCTTTTCTTTTTTCCTTCATTCTTTTTTAGGTCATTAGATGTTTATAGGCTGATGGCTTCATTTCCACTCATGATTTAACTTACAAGGATTATGCTTTTGCGTTATATCCCAACATCCCCCCCCCCAAGACAAGCCAATTAATACATAAGCTTTTGCAAAGCCATTCTTAAAAGGCAATAATAAATTAAGTTCCAGTAGGCTTAGGTTTCAGTAATTCTTCAAGTTGGTAACTTAAATGAACCCATAAATAATCCATTTTTACTTATCATCTATTAAAATAAATTAAAAATATAATCGATCGAATTTGAGTTAATATAATATTAAATTTAAATTTAACTCTAAATTTGATGTTCAAAATTCGATTCAAATTCGATTAAATTTTATTTTTTTAATTTAAACTTGACTTGAGATAAAAATTAAATTACTTAAACTCATTTGATTAAGCTCGATTAACATATAAAAATTAACTCAATTGTTATATTTGATAAAAATTTGATTATTTGTGATCAAATTTAAACTCAAATTTGAGATATTTTATCAATTAAAATAATTAAAATATATTAAAATATAAAAATTTAATTAGACTTGTGAATAACTCTAATCAGATATAAAAATATTAGAACTCGATTTAATTGATTAGTAAAACTACTAAAGCTTGAGTTTGACTCAATAATAATCAAATTGAATTCAAATTTTATTCGAATTAAATTCAAGTAATTTATAATATTAATAATTTCCTTTGAATAACCCAAAACACTTAATAAAAATTTGATAATGGTGAATTAAGATAAATTAGATTTTACTTGAATTTTTTTTTTTTTGATAGGACACACCCTTCTCACTCAAAAAACTACAAACTGTAAAAACTATAATAAAAATTAATCAACGACTATTAACCTTAGTAATATTCATTACCACAAAACAAAATGTACTTTGGATATTTAAAGTTAAAAATATCCTTGTAGATAGGATTGACAAAGATATCCTAATTCGTTAGTTATAATCGAATTGATTTTGTAGGATCATTTAAAAAAAAAAAAAATCAAATTTTGAGCCGAATTAAATTTTTTTTAAAAAATTGAGATTAGATTTTAAGTAAATTTGTTTCAATATGATCTAATATAATATAAAAAAAAATTTATTATTTATTTAATTTTATATTTATATATATTATATTAATAAAATTATTATGTAATACTTTAATTTAATATATTAATTTAATAAAAATATTATATTTATATATAAAATTAAGATATAATTTATATTAAAAATATTTTATAAATATTATATTAAATTAATTTTAAATGATTATAATTTTATATATACATCGATAAGATCGTATTAAATATAAAAAATAATATTTTAATAATAAAATCCGATCAAAATAAAATATTTATTTTATAAAATCGAAGGGCAGATAAAAACTCACCCAACCCGTTGCAATTAGGAGGTTTTGTGCTTTCTTTTTTGGGTTTCTAGTATTTTTACTTGGACAGAGTTCTGGAAAATCGGAAATTTATTGACATAAAACAAAAGGAAAGAGTGAATACGAAACAGAAGCTTGAATAGAATAGAGGTTGAATTGGGTGCACGCAAATCCATGAATGGCCTAAAAATGAGTGTGAAAGAGGACATTAGAATGAGCAATGAGTTGCAACTTACAAACAAATCAAACATATTATTGGTATTTACACAAAGCATTAGATGCTTTGCTTCAAAGCACCAAAAATTTAGTCCAACAAACACAATGGCATACCCCTAATCCAATTCTACTACTAAATAGTAACCCCACCAATCAGCAACAATCCATCGGCTCGACGACCTCCAATAAATGAACTCCACGCACCCTTTCCACCCACCTGGTTTTCAGTTCCAAATCCAACCAACATTTCACCAAATCGTCCTCTCTCTCTCTCTCTCTCTCCTTCCCTCTGCCAATACGTTCTTATTCTTACTTTACCGTCACTGAAGTAAAGCAACACCAACGTCTTTGCATACCTGAAACCTTTGAAACAGCACAAATAGCAGCAACAACTACTGAACCTGTTCTCTCCTGTCTGTAATCTGACAACAACAACAGTGTTTTATAGACAGAAGAGAGAACCGGGTTGTCTTTTTTTTTTTTGTTTAATTTGTGCTGGATTGAAGTATTTATGTGGAGAGACAGATATTGTAACAGTAAACCTGGGAAAGTCAGGGGAGTATTTTTTCGAGGGGATATTTGATTGCATCCATGAGATCACTGCGGCTCTTGCTTTATCTAGGATGAGCGAGTCTGCTTATAGAGTCGAAACCACTGCTCGTCTTGCTCAATGGAGGATAGACAATCTTGCTTCTTGCACTTACCGCAAATCCGATCCTTTCAAGATCGGCAAGTGGAATTGGTCTGATTCTTTATCTTTTTTCTTTCTTCTCTCTTCCCATCTATTTGAAGAGTTCTTTTCAGCTTTTCACGATGTTTTGGTCATGCATTAGTTTGGTTTCTTGTCCCTGGAATTTCGATACAAAACCATGCATCGAGGTAACCCTTTAGGTTAATTTCTTGTTGGGCTTAGATTTTGGTTTGTTTCTTTTCTTTTCTTTTTTTTAGTTTCTAGAAATTTTGGTTTTTATAATGAAAAACATTGATGAGTCTGAATTCAGTAGGCATGTACAAAATTTTCATTGCTTGTTAATCATTTTAACCCTGGTTTATCCCCCTCACAAAACCCTTAGTTGCACATTGATGAAACTACACTGTTGAAAACCTTAAGGTTTGAGTGAAAGTTTAATGTTTTGTTTGGTATCTGAAAAAGTAGGGGTTCCTTTTTTGTTTGTAATATTGCAAGTTTTTATGGCTTTTGTTATGAGGACAAACGAATTGTTTGAAACTTGTTCTTATGTCGTGCTTTATCTGGAAGTGAAGGCATTTATCGGTAGAGAAGAACAGGGTATTATATGTTAAATTATACCCAGAGATTTCAAACCTAACAAGAGATAATCCTCCAATTGCATCCTTCATAATCCGGGTTGTCTGCTCTGCAGGAGATCGAAAGGCTTTGACTCATCCAGGTAGGTGCCGCTTCTGAAAACAGACAATCATCATTTATTTTGATCCACTAATTAATATTTTGACTAAGATTGGAGATTGTTTTTTCATGAATATTAATTCGGGGGATTAAAGCATGATTCATGGTTCTTCATTAATTCAAGTTTTTAATGCTTTTCTTATTGATTTTGGTATCTGATGCTGCTGTAAAGTCATGCCCCCTAAGCTAAGACACGAATATATGCTCTTAAAGTAATTTAAACTTTTATGGTTTAGATTTTAATGAAAAGAACATTGTTTCTACGATGATCAAGATCGTTGTTAATTGTTTTTTTTTTTTTTTCAATTTTATTGTCTCTATTTACAGAAATAACAGACAAAGAGCTGAAGAACAACTACGATTTTGTCTGGCCGATTGAGGTTCCTTTGACAGGGAAATTCATTATTGACGTTGAATTCCTTGATCTGAAGACTGCATCTCCAAACGTAAGACTCTAGCATAAGGAATAACTGACTCTAGTTATCATCTAGAATCAGTGTGGAAACTAATGCTGATGGGGAAAAAAGATAATTATCAGAGTTAATATCATACCTAAATTACCAATTATAGTTTTTCTGTTCATGTACAGGGTGGGGAGCCTTGCTCCATTTGGGCTGAAGGATTCACACAAAAGCAATCAAATGCAACAGCTCTTACTTGCCTTGGTCGAATGTTAACAGAAGGCATTCATACAGATATCCTTATTAATGCTTCTGATGGAAGCATTGGAGCCCATCGTGCTGTTCTTGCTGCAAGATCACCTGTTTTCCACAGCATGTTTTCACATAACCTGCAAGAAAAGGAACTCTCAACCATAAACATATCTGACATGTCAATTGAAGCTTGTCAGGCTTTCCTAAGTTACATTTACGGAAATATCAAACACGAAGAATTTATGACTCACCGACTGGCACTTCTCCGAGCAGCTGATAAGTATGATATCTCGGACTTGAAAGAGGCATGCCATGACAGTCTCCTGGAAGATATTGATACAAAGAATGTCCTTGAGAGACTCCAAAATGCAGCTTTATATCAATTGCCAAAACTGAAGTCCAGTTGCATGCGATATCTTGTGAGGTTTGGTAAGATATATGATATTCGAGATGATTTTAATGCATTCCTGCTATGTGCGGACAGAGAGCTAATAGCTGATATCTTTCATGAAGTTCTAAACACCTGGAAAGGATTCTAAGATTCCACCAATGGTAAAGAACAAAAGGAAGTTTGCTCAAGTGAGTGGTATTTATATGGCTTCAATGAAGATTTTAGCATGCATGATTTCTGTAAAGATTATTCTTTTGTTCAGATGGAATTCATGTCTCCATGTACATATGTATTGGTTACCTTTGACATGAACATACCATCCTTGTTAACTGAATTAAGGAATACTATATGATTTAGATGAAAATTTGATTGATTCATATTGTAATAATTTGGGCTGAGGACAGAACTATGCATGCTGCCACACAAAAAAAATAAAGCACCACAAAAAACACTCAAAATCATATCGGTATTGATACAGGGTCAATCTGCTTTGATTGCAAATGCTCCTAAGTCAGAAGTGGAGATTGAAATTTAACCATTGGATTCTATTTTCTCGAGTGCTGCTTTCAAGCTTCAGTCTCCTCTATCTAACCAAGAACGAACTAAACAATGTAACGGGTGATTAAACCAACTTGGTTGACTAAAATTTTCCATTAATTTGATCTTGAGTGAGCCTGAAGCAGGGCGAATACAAAGACAACCTCATATTTTAAGAAAAAAAAAAAAGTCAGACAAAGCATGCAAATACATGTCATGACCGCTTTGAAATGAATGCAGCCGTGACTTTCCAGTCTCCACATAATGAATTCATTGACAAAAAAAACCAAAATACTCTTTTGTGGATTTTAGTGTAAAAATTCACCAAGTTAATAACCTTAAGTTTTTTTTGGCACATATAAACCAACATATTCTCACCAAGTTAATAAACCCACATTTTGCCATAGATGACAAATAAATGGCTTGATTTTGAAATTTTAGTGTTATTAGGAAAAAATAAAAAGTGCAAACGGCAAAATCAAATGGCTTTGTGGCCTAGATCTGGGTTTTACTTACGAGCAAGTCCTGGGTTCAACACAGGACAGAGGTACCATCGTAGCCTATATCAGATAAGATGCTATCAAATCTTCATTCTGTTTTGAAAAGTTTGTGGCCAAGATTATGGGCCAGATAGACAGAAAAAATTGTGTCTGACAAGTGAATTAAAGTCTTCCCATTTGCTTGTTAAGTACGGTAAGACTCTTGCACTAGTATGCCAGCTGGGCACATAGCGCTGCTGAGGATCAGTCTCCTAAGATTGTTTCTCCCCGTCTCCTAATCATTTCATATTTAACAGCTAGATGAACGAAGCCAGCCATCCCCTCGACTGCCTCGGAAGGCCTAGATCTAAACCATCAAATCCATACCAGCTTCAACAGAGAAAAGGGATTTTACTCGTAAGCTTAACGGACTGCCTCATGAGCTATAATTCTCAATACAAATGTCCTGTTTCAATAGAAATACACTTGTATGATGTACTTATAAAATAACAAACAAAGTATCATAAACCATACAAAGTACAAACAAACAACTAATAAACCAACTCAGAGAAATCAATAGGACTTTTTATATCAAGAAATGCGTACGAAGAGCGAATAAACAGCTTAAACTCAGAATAATGATCATATCATTTACATGCAAAAGAATGTGCTGATCTTTAGTAGCAGAAATTACAGCTTCTATTGTAAGGATAGTTAAATTTACCTTCAACAGTTAGTGCATATCTAGTCTCTTGCGGTTGGCAATCGAATATTCTACCTTTCATTATTGAGAACCTCAGAAGATGGAGAGAAAGAGAGAGTGAATGGAAAAGAATAAGTTCATGGAGCTAGGAATATGGAGGGAATATTATCAGGATCTTTTTTGCCTTCTGCTCTTTTATAACTGGCCAACCCTTGAATCAGTCTAAGGCTCAAAAGCCCATCATGATATTAATCTCAATTTGATTTGTTGAGACCAAAAGATTTCATAAGGCCCATATATCTACCTTATATTGAGTTAATTCAAGTGACATTCACCGTGAAAATTTCTTTAGTTCGTACCAAATTTCATTACCTCAAGTGATTTGAATTGGATCACGTAAAGTTGCTTATTAGAAAACTCATTGATACTCGAACAATGTTTTTTTTTTTTAATTAAAAGAAAAAAGGTCACTTTAAAGGATAAAACAGAAACCATAAACCCCAAAATCTTTCAAGTAAACCACTCATCAATAGCGGGCCCCCGATATTCATTTGCAAGAAAAATCTCAACACTCCCAGCAGAAGAGGAAAAATGCACTTCCATTCACTAAAGACATCAAAGAGATGGAAGACATCAATCCCTATATCACTTGTCAGATGTTTGATTCACCTCCCTGCTCTCTGCTTCACCAACAACCTTCCTTTCATCTCCTTCCACTGCATCTCCATTTGAGCAATGGTTCTTCAAAACTGTAGAAATGTCAGCTTCAGAAGCTCCTGCAAGCTTGAAGCGCTCAACAGCAGTATCAAGATTTTTTTTCCAACCATCCATTCCTAATTTGCATTCAACTTGGGATCGTTCAAAGAGCATGTTGCCCCAGAAAAGATGTATTTGTGATCTCATCACAGCAGCTTGTTCAGCTGCTTCCTCAGCTGAAAGCTCCCGACTGCCAGTTACTGAGAGCTCATTTTCAGCACCACTTCCAGGTTTCTTCCTTCTCTTCATCAACTCCTCCTCCTTGTTTATAGGATCAGTCAACTCATTGACTCTCTGCTTCTCCAACTTCTCCCAGATTTCAGTCGCAACTTTCATTTTCTCCTCTGCACTGTCAAAAAGTTGATGCGTCTCTGCAGGATCCCAGCTTGAGAGATCTATTTTCTTTGCAAGTGCAAAAGACCAATTAAGTTTGGCCATTTCAAATTGCTGCTGTCCCAGTGCCAGCATCCCTTCATAAAAGTCTGGCTTGATTACTAGTGCTTCAGCATACTTCTCTCTAGCCAAAGAATACTTTTCCCTCACCCACTCATAAGCCACTTGAAGTTGTGCTGACACTACCTCCTTCCCAGCAGACTCATCTAAGGGAATCCGTTTCCTTGCAGCACACATATGAACATTTCCCCAATTAAAAAAGGCCAAAGCAGCCACCTCTTGGAACTTGGAAGCAGCTTTGTCAAAGAGGTTTTGAGCTTCCTCACTAGTTACTGTCTCCTCAAGAGCCTCTGAACATAGCTCCATCCCAAGCTCATGCAAGTCAATGTGAGCATCAGGGTCAATACCCACATGGGTGCGGAAAAGCTGAGCAAACTCAACCAGCCAATCATCCATCTCCACTTCCTTGCACTCTGGATCTTCAGAAGCTCCTACTTTTTCCTTTAAAGCTCCTTTCTCTGTCTTTTCAATCTCAGTATCAACACCTTCTGACACAGAACCACCAAGAGATGAGTGAGACCGACTTTCATTTGCCTTGGCTCCCCCACTCTCAGAAGGTTTCTCCTCCTCTTCTTCTGGTAATGGTGGCTCCTGCTCTGGACTCACCTCAACAATGTGCAATCTCATCATCCCAAATCCACTGGTTTTATCTTCTTGCGGCTCTCGAATAAGAGCATCTACAGAAGACTCTGCCAACCTGAGTTCGGTCGTACAGGTAATAGTTACCAAATCACCATCATTATCCTTATATTTGATCAAAACTGACTTGGATGAAGGAAAACGTTTGCTCACAATCTCTCTTAACACTTTGAAGCTGCAATTAACCGGCATTTGGGACAGCCTTATGTCATGATCGTAAGCAAGTTTCAATGGCCTCCATTGAACTGCCACCTTAGGAACCTGCCCATAAATAGAAGCAGAAAAGGACTGTTCTCTCTGGCCTTCTTTATTCAGATTATCACTTGCTTTAAAAGAACCACTGGAGGTCTTCAGCACAAGTCTAGGCAACTGGGCTTTGTTCTCAGGACCATTTTCAGCTGCTACATTGATTTGGTGCTTCTCCAGCTTATTACTTGGTGATACAACTGACCCTCCAGGAGGTGATGCTGCTGTCTTCTTAGGCACCGGACGAGCAGGTAAGCAAGGCCCAAGACCAGCAATTGGGGCACCACGAACCACAGAAGCCCCAAGTGCAGCTGGGGATGGTCGGCTCTGGAGGTCTTGCTGAGCCTCCTGGCGAGGACCCAATGCAGTCCTTATTCTCCGGGCAATCTCTAAAGCATCCTTATGATTGGGGTCAGCCCCCAACAAAAGTTGTGCGTCCTGCATCGCCATTTCATACTTTCCAGTGGCCTCAAAAGCCCGAGCCCTCCTAAGAAGAGCTCGAACAAAGCGAGGCTGAACCTGAAGCGCCATAGTACACTCAGCAATGACAGCGTCATAATCAATGGGTTTCATTTGCATCAAACAAGCAGCTCTATTGCTGTGAAAGACAGCTCCGTCAGGGTGGGTTTTGGGGATAAGCCTAAGAGCATTATCATAGTGTTGAAGAGCAGCCACATAATCCTTATTCTGAAACTTCTTATTGCCTTCTTCTTTGAGCTCATGGGCTCTCTTCAAAAATATAGAAGAGTCTAAATCAACACCACCATTAACATGTGCAGTTGTATTACTGGAATTATTATTATTATTATTATTATTATTATTATTATTATTATTATTATTGTTATCAACTGAAACCTGGTTTGAACCACCCTTCTTTTTTCTTCCTCCTGATTTCCCCATATGATGAAAAAGAATGAATATGCTTCTCTCCCAGTCTCTCTCAGTATCTAAGTCTCTCTCTCACACACACAAAAGATTGAAGAATTGTAGTCTTGTTCTTATACAATACAAAACAGAAATCTTTGAAACTATAACTTGAGTTTACAGACAATGAGAACCTTGAGTTCAATGATAGAAACACACACACACACACACAAACGGAGAAATGATATTTACAGGAAAATACTTAATAAAATTGAGAGCTTGGTTGCTTACTTGTTTTGATAATTGAATTGGAGAAGTGGGATTTGGTTGCGTAAGTGCCAGAGAGTGGAGAAAAGGAGGAAAGGAAAGGCTTTTGATTGAGATTGAGAGACGGGAGAAATGAAAAATGGGGGGGTTTTTGGGATGTTGAATGTTGAAACCCTAGTAGGAACACTTGCTTCCTAGCCGTTAGATTAGTCTACTCTTGTTTTGTCAACCTAAATCACAGTGTCTGTGCTGCACCACGTGGCAGATAAATTAAAGTGAAAACCAAAAAAGGAATAAAGCTCAACACCCTGTTTGGACAAAGTAAGCCCAACATTGAGCCCAGTTAAGCCCAAGTCCATGCCCAAACTTTAATTGCTCATTGAAGGGAAGGATTCAGTGAAGCATGAAATGAAATGCTACTTACTTTTTTGGTACGAAGAAATCTCAAAGTAGATAAATTGTTCTTTTAGGTTAAGATAAGATATAATGTTGATATGGAGAAATCTTAAAGTAAATAAGTTGCTTTGTCTTTGAGGTCAATATAAGATTGTTATACTCTTGATAATTGGGCATTTAAAATTAACACTAATAAAAAAATCGATAAAATTTGAATCTAATTCAAGTTTATTAAATTAATTACTTATCGATGAAATATCAAAATGTAGTGAGTTTACTAAGTTTATTTTGATAAATTAAGGCAAACAAAACAATTGGCTTGTTGGTACTATTACTACCATTATCACCAAATAGGAAAAGGCAGTTTAGATGACAAGATAGACAACAAGAGGATCTCTAATCTTTGCTTGTTTGAATGAATATTGAATAGTGAATCATAAGATCAGGGAAAGACATTCTTGTTCCATCAAAAGTGGAGTGCTATCACATCCCAATTCCCAAAAGTAAAGTACCCTTAAGCTGAAGAAGAAGATGGATTGGACATTGAGGGAGTCAGTCAAACCCAACTCAATCTCTTTTCTTTTTTTTTTTTTAACCTTAATACAATCCATCTCCATTAAGCTTAGTTTGGGTAAAGCCTTAGTTTCAATCCATTTTTCACTAATGCTACTCTATTTGTTTATTAACATTGATTTCTCAAATTATAACTTTCTTAGCCATTCATTTTTACTAGTATGTAGTAATTGATTTCACACTAACTTCTTCCATTTGCATAATTAGTTGGAATTCTTATTAACTTAATTGAGTAGTGACCATGCTACTACTAGCTTTTTATACTACCCCATCTTCATATTTGTTTAATAACTATGGTCTAATTATCATAGCTAACTTTAATTATTGTAGTAGCCTACATGCCAATATATCTCATCTAAACTCTTATGATAAATATATATACACTCACAAATGATATCTCTATTCTTTTTTCATATAAAAAAAAAATAAGAAAAGAAAAAATGTGAAATATAGTTTGTTATTTGATTGTTTTGTTGCAATTTTTTATCCTTATATATAGTATATAGTATATCTTTTAATGATAAAATCTCCTTAAATCTTTCCAAATGAAAAATCCCCAATTTCAATCTTTGACTTATACTAATTTTCTCCTCTTTTTATGATTAACATAACCTATTTGTATACAATTAATAAGAAATAATTATATTCCTATTTACTTTTTAATCACCCTTCTCAATTCTTTGCATTTGCGACAAATTTCACAAGTTAGTCCCTATGCCATATCATTTACTATATTTCAAACTATTTTTTTTCTAAGAGCTCAATACATTGTACATTAAATTTTAATTTTCATGCTATAATGGTGATTTTTTTTTTCTTTTAAGAAGCAATTAGGTGGGTTAAATTTAGTAAAGAGATTCAAAAGTAATAAAAAAAATTATGCTAATTTGTTATGAAAATAAGAAAATGTTCACCATAGTGTATATACATTCCCTCAATGCAACTTTCTTTATTCATCATGTAAAACTTTTTAGAAATGCTCATGCAAACACTTTTAGGATTCTTGCTTTTTATATAATACCCCTTTAAAGCAAACTTTTTAGAATTTGTTTCTTTTGAAAAAAATTATTAAGAAAAGAGGTACAAATTCATTGGACTGTTTGAAGGTTTGAACACATCCAATCAGATTTGGGTTTTGATATACACAATTTGCAAATATTTATGGAATTTTCAAAGATTTATATACCAAAAAAAATATATTTTTTTGGATATGAAGAGAGTCCAACACATGTATACTACTATACTCAATTACCCAATTAGGGCCTAATTAAATACAAAAAAAAAAAAAAACATATAAAAAGAATTCCAACCAAATCACAACTGTAACAAATAAAATGTAATCCGAATGAATAATTTTAAAATTCTTCCTCTTAAATCAATCCATTCCCTAAAAAGTTGCTTGCAAAATGGGAGAATTCTATAGCTATCCGTTATCAAAGGCAAGAAGCAAATTTGTTTCCAAAAACAAGCAAAAACAGAGCTTAAAAACAGGGGAAAGCAGAGTCCCTTTACAACACTTCTCTTCTTTAACAAGAGAGTTTAGCAGGAGAAGAAGGGGGGAGATATCTCTAAAGCCAAAGCAATGAGGCTTTCAGTTCTTTCGTCTTTGCTTTTACTAGTCCTTCTTTTCTCTCTTTTGCAGACTCCAACTTTTGCTGTCAAAAAGGCAAGCATCTTCAGTTATTAGTTTTCTCTTTAAATGCTACTGAAAATTTTAGTATGTTTGCACAAGTTTCATTGATTCTTACTGCCAATACTAATTCTGGGTTTATCTTAAAACTCCAAGTTTCAATCTTTTTTTGCTCAAAATGTAGATGTGTTTGATTGAAATCTCTTCTCTGTTGCAGTCTTACATAGTGTACTTAGGAGGACATAATCATGGTCTAGAGCCCACATCGGTTGACCTTGATCATGTCATAAATTCTCATTATGAATTGCTGGCTTCCTTGGTGGGAAGGTATAGAATTTGATGATAACATGGAAAGATTCTATGTTTTTCCTTTTAAATGAAGAACCAACTGCATTTTAATGCCATTTGTTTCAATATATTTTTGCAGCACTGACACAGCAAAAGAGAAAATATTTTACTCATATACTCGAAACATCAATGGTTTTGCTGCTATCCTGGATGAGGAAGAAGCAGCACAGATTGCAAGTAAGAAGCTCAATTTCATGTTTTTTTATTACTAAGTTCTCACTGTTCTAATGCCAACTCTATGCAACTCTCTTTCAAGTTTCTGTCTCTGTTTGCTCTGTTTTTCCTTTATTCTGCTCTCTCTAATCTCTGAATCATTAATGTTGATAAATGTTTGTTCTTGATCAATGTAGATCATCCAAATGTTGTGTCCGTTTTCTTGAACAAAGGAAGAAAACTGCATACGACACGATCATGGGATTTCCTCAGATTAGAGAAGGAAGGAGTCATCCTTTCTGGTTCTCTCTGGAAGAAATCAAGGTTTGGTGAAGATACAATTATTGGAAACCTTGATACAGGTACAGTTTGCAACAATTTTGTTAATTTTCGAATTTTTTTTCTACTTTTCAATCTCATAGTTGGAAATTGAACGATTCCTTTTCATTTTTGCATGAAATTTTGAGGGGTTTGATTTGATGTGTGCATGTTTAAGCACAACTCATTTCATCAAATGACTCTTGAAGTTGACTATGATATTCTGCTAGTTCTTGTATTATTATTTTGACTTAATCATAAGTAAAGTGTTTTCTACGTATTCTATAAGTAAATGATTTTTCAATGATTTCAATTTCCTGAAGTCATGTTAATTTTAGTGTTAAAACAAAAATAGATTGATCAAAAACAGCTTTTGCTTGAAAGACCAGCTTTTTGATTAATCTGCAGATATGTAATCATATGTTCAACATATATCAATCTGACAGTGGTAGGGTCAAATAGCAAATAATTTTTGACTATACATTCATGCTTTTGCCTCCTTTTCCGCTTTGTATATTAATATGTGTGCCACTGTTTTCTTGTCAATTGCCATCACGTTTTAACATATTTTGGTGTAATGTAATACTTTTTTGTTTGGTGATGGGTTGTGAAATAGGTGTTTGGCCGGAATCGAAGAGCTTTAGTGATGAAGGGATGGGACCGATCCCATCAAGATGGCAAGGATCCTGTCAGGATGACACAGCTGATGGAGTTCGTTGCAACAGGTTCATTCTTTTTTCAAACTTCCTGCCAATTTTCTCCATAAAAGGACTGAGATGATTAATCATTAATGGTATCCTACTTGTCATTGTTCAAAGAGTTGATGTTATTTACCTTTACTGAAGCTTCATTTTGCACTCTACTGCAAAATACCATTACTCTTGAGGAGTGGATATCAATAAACTGCTGCCAAATCCCAAAATGCTTGTTTTCAAAAATGACTTTTCTCCTTGCCAAATTAGGAAATTTAAGTTTTTACTGAGAATCAGTTTCTAAAATTATTGTCCTTTGCAAAAATTTATTCTGCATATAATGTAAATTCATCAAGACCACGTTTAAATATGCAATAGCAACCTCAGTTATGAGGTAAAGTTTGAAAGGAAAGGGCCCTTTCCTTAAAGTTTTTCTAAAGTTGTGTAACTGACCCTCTTTTTTTTGGGTGTGGACTGGTAGTGGAATTCATACGTGAATCTCACATTCTTTGAGTTTTTGAACAGTAAATTAAAATTTATTCCCTATTTGTATATATTTTTTCTTGTTCCTGATTATATCTTAATTTGCCTCTAAAGGATCATATACAATCTCTTTGACTTCAGAAATTCATGTTAATTGCTTGTTTAATGAGTCGGAAGATTCCTTTGGTAATGATTTTTTCATTTTCACACCACATGCTTATTATTTGTGTTGACAATTAAGTTTGCAATTTGTTATCTTGGATCTGGCTGCATTAATTTCAGTAGCTTGAACCCTTGAATACTTGCTTGTCCATCATCCTTTAATAGTTAATTACTAGGACAAGCATAGGTATTTGAAAAATGACATGTTTTGTAAGAATAGAATACCAGTGATTCCTGCTGTCTTCTGCATGCACATGGCTTGATTGTATGTTGGTAAAACCATTGCTTCCTGGTTTAAAACATCTCGTTAGGCATTTAATTTCTTCTCTTAATACTAGTATGGTATTAACATCAAGATTAAATCTCATCATCCATGTCATTCTAATACCTTAGATAAAGTACAGGTGGCAGCTATGTCAATTTGATATACTTTTGTATCATAACAAAGTGATAAAGTTTTTTAATCATTGATTGTTGTAGGGATAAAGTGATGGCCAAAATTTTTCTTTCTCAATAATAAATTCATAAAAGTAACAATAAGGAAAAAAAAAAGCATTCCCTTATATTGAGATTAGAAAGATTAAAAAAAGCAAAAGGGAATATGGACAGTTCCTTTTTACTGTGGTTTTCTAAAATCCATTTGAAGGTCCCTTTATTTTCCGATTGATTCTCTCCACCATCCCTTTATTCATTTTTTTTTCTGATCCTGATGTTGACCATAGAAAGCATAAAGGGAAGTGTCTATTGTGCCACCCTTTTTATCCTCTTATTTATGCAAAACAATGTTTTCTCTAGTTAAAAGTTAATATTAACTTCCACTGCTGCTGTGGGCTTGTTGGGCTATAGAGAGTGAAGCAATGGAACTGATGAGAAATTCCACTATGTGAAATAGTTGCAAACAGCATCATTTGCAATTTTTTTTTTTTAATATTTATATATATTTCCGATTTCAGACCCTTTGCATTAGCTTAAGGATGATTTGGGTAACAGCTGCATGGTTAGCTTTGCTTCTCATACGGTGCAATTCTTATGCTAAAAATGCAGGAAGCTGATCGGAGCAAGGTACTTTAACAAAGGTTATGAAGCTTTCCTTGGTGGTAAACTCAACGACACCTTCAAGACCGCACGGGACCATGAGGGCCATGGTTCCCACACCCTATCAACAGCTGGTGGCAACTTTGTTCCTGGAGCTAGCGTATTTGGTTATGGAAATGGAACTGCAAAAGGAGGATCACCTAAAGCCCGTGTGGCTGCTTACAAAGTATGCTGGCCTCCCATCAACGGCAGCGAGTGTTTTGATGCAGACATCATGGCTGCCTTTGATGCTGCTATAAGCGATGGTGTTGATGTGCTTTCTGTGTCATTGGGTGGTGAAACAGCTGAATTTTTTGAAGATGGGCTTTCAATTGGAGCCTTCCATGCTGTCAAGAAAGGCATTTCTGTGGTTTTATCTGCTGGCAACTCTGGACCAACTCCAGGAAGTGTATCAAATGTGTCACCCTGGATGTTTACAATTGGTGCTAGCACACTTGACAGGGAGTTCACAAGTTATGTTGAACTAGGCAACAAGAAGCACCTCAAGGTACGTATTCTATTTAAATAAGACTTAAGATCATATATTTAACACGTTCACCAACCTTTACATATTTATTATATGTTCTTATTGTATCCGCTGCCAGGGAGCCAGCCTGGCTTCTGCAACCTTGTCATCTAGGAGTTCCTATCCACTGATCAGTGCTGATAAGGTGAAAGCAGCCAACACATCAGCTGCAGACGCGTAAGATTCACAATTCCACTCCATGCTTATAAATCATTATTCTGCATTGAAATTTTACTAGATAAGTTACGTTGGTTTCACTCGTAGTATATAATTTTAACAAAACCGTATATACTGATTGCTTGTGCTTTTGTGCAGTATCCTCTGTCTGCCTGGGACACTTGATCCTAAAATGGTTAAGGGGAAGATTTTAGTCTGTCTTCGAGGAATCAACGCAAGAACAGACAAGGGAAAGCAGGCTCTTCTTGCTGGTGCGGTTGGAATGATTCTTGCAAATGATAAGAACAGTGGAAATGAAGTCATAGCAGATCCTCACTTGCTACCAGCTACACACATAAATTTCACTGATGGTGCTACTGTTTTTGCATACGTTAACTCAACCAAGTAACTCTCTTACTTTCTACTTGAAGTTTTATTGCTTCACTAGCAACTCATTCTGTTTATGACCATGTATCAGGAACCCTACAGCATATATAACTCCCGTGAAGACAGAATTGAATACAAAGCCTGCTCCATTTATGGCTTCTTTTTCTTCTAGGGGACCCAATTTGATTGAGCCATCAATCCTCAAGGTTAATTTGCAATGACAATTCATCAACCCTTTGGTTTGGCATGTATTTCCAATTAGCATTTCTAATTTTTCTAATACCGGTTTCAGCCTGATATAACTGCACCAGGAGTGAGCATCATTGCTGCTTTCACCGAATCAGTTGGTCCGACTGAAGAAATATCTGACAAGCGTAGGATTCCTTTCACTTCACAGTCTGGAACTTCCATGTCATGCCCACATGTGTCTGGTATTGTTGGCCTACTCAAGAGTCTCCACCCTGATTGGAGTCCAGCGGCAATAAAATCTGCAATCATGACCAGTGGTACAAGCTTTTTTTCTTCTTTCAAGTGATTCATTTGTTGTACGTCCTAAAACCTTCCTAACGTTTCAACTCCAAATCCCATTTGCAGCACGAACAAGAGATAACACTGAGCAGCCGATGCTTGATTCAAGCAACAAGAAGGCAACTCCATTTGCTTATGGTGCAGGACATGTGAGACCAAACCGTGCAATGGATCCTGGTCTTGTTTATGACTTAACTGTTGATGATTACTTGAACTTCTTGTGTGCCCGAGGCTACAATCAAAGCATGATAAGATTATTCTCAGACAAGCCATACACTTGTCCAAAGTCATTCAGCTTAGCACACTTCAACTACCCTTCCATTTCAGTTCCTCAGCTCAGTGGGTCAACAACTGTTAGCAGGAAGGTTAAGAATGTTGGTTCACCGGGAACATACAACGCGCGTGTTAGATCACCTGCTGGAGTTAGAGTTTCAGTTAACCCTTCAAAACTAAAATTTGAGAAGATTGGTGAAGAGAAGAAATTCGAAGTGACATTCAAGACAAGGACTAATGGACAGCTTGCAGGCTATGTATTTGGGCAGTTGATATGGTCTGACGGTCAACACTATGTCAGGAGTCCTCTCGTGGTTAAGCACTAGCAGATCATTTGGGGGTGAAGGTGAAGTGAGGTCAGTTGGGGTTTGAATTGATCATTATTCTCATTCCATTCTTTGGGAAAACTAAACAGGAAAAATGCCAATTGTAATGACATTTCTAGTAGCAAATAAGAGATTAAATAGAAGGATGATTCCTATTTTGGTTGTTTAGATTTTTTTTCTTAATTAAAAATTTGACTGCATAAAAGTGAACCTGTTTTTTTTTCCTATTCTCAAATTCTTTCTCAAAGAAAGCCTAATCTCAGCGCACTTGTTTTAACATTATACACCACCGTTTGTGGAGATTTTAAATTCTATCAAGCTTAAAAAGCTTTATGGAAAATATAAATCCGACGGTTAGTGTAATTGACATTGACTTACAAATTAGCGTGTATGATTCATATAAATTCGTAAGGTATTAATTTTTGGTTTATATAAATCCAAAGGTTAGTATAATTGACTTTGAGCTATAAGTTACAGTTGTAAGGTATTATTTTTTTTTATCTATTAAATCTCATGATTTTTTTTTTATTCTCAATATTGATTCTCGATACACAATTAATGGTAAAATTCATCACTACTCTCTATAATCATAATATTTTTTTTTTATTTTAATAAGAATTTATTATTTTCGAATCTTAAAATCAATTTTAATTTTAAATATCATGATTTATATTAATTTATAAGATATTATTTATTATAATTTATTGAATCTTACAATTTTGTCTCTTGCAAAATATTTCAAAAATTAAAGATAATAGAAGTATTTATATCTTGACTTTAATAACCTGTCGACGTCGGATTCATAATTCCTCTTTTAAGATCTCGATACTACGACGCAGCATTTCTATCTGGGATCACCTTTCATCCCTAGCGTGGGCAATGGCCCAGTTACAACCGATTTTCAGTCTGTGTTTGCCTCCAGGCCTTTGGGCCAATAATCTTCAGGAGATGAAAGGAGTCCTTTCATGGAAGCCCAACACAATAAAGGACAGTTTTGCAAGGACACTAGGACACAAAGTCGAGGGTTTTAGTTTAGGTTTTAGGGCGTCGACGCTTGTTCGCAAATCTTTCTCCTGTCTGGTTGCCGCCACTTCTCGACGTCTCTTCTTCCAGCCAAGATCCACCAAGGCTTCTCCCCTTTAAAAAAGAATCTACTTTTCAGTGTACCCAACTGCCCTTATTCTCTTTTGAGGACGAAATTATCCTTTGAAATCCAGTCCAGCCGCCACCCATCTCTTCTAACTTCTTCTCCAGGTCAGTTCAACGTTTTATTTCTTCTATTTCTTCTTTTCCCAGTTTCATGTTTCGAGAAAAAAAAACTTTTTTTTTGGAAACAAAGAGTCGTGATGGTTATGTCTAATTCATGCTTGAATTATGTTGTTTTTTATATATATTTTTTAATGTTGGGATTGGTTTTTTTAGTCTTAGGGACTACTCTTTTATCTTATTGATTGATGCATTTGTGAGTGTAAATGGATTTAGATTAAGTATTAAATCTAAGGGTGCCATTAACATTGTTCTTGTTGGGGTAATTATTGTTTCCATTACTAGTATAACTTCTTGATGTTATGATTTTATCATTTGCTACTGCTATCATTTTTTTTTCTATGAATAAGTCTAATTTGAACTTCAATCATAGCTTGAACTTGTTGCAATTTGTTTTCATTCAGACTCCGACTAGCTTCTGTTGAAGTAACAGAAATATGTATACTGGAGCACCCACCACCATGGAGATTGAAACGGTGCCTTCTAAACCTAAACCTGAATCCAATTCATTGCCCCCAAAGCCAAAATTTGAGCCTTTGAAGGCTCATGAGATGTCAGACGGTCGAGTCCAGTTTAGAAAGGTCTCAGTTCCACCTCATCGGTATTCACCTCTCAAGAAATACTGGATGGATATCTATACTCCAATTTATGAACAGATGAAGATTGACATCCGTATGAATCTCAAAGCTCGGAAGGTTGAATTGAAAACGAGACCAGACACACCAGATGTTAGTAACCTCCAGAAGTGTGCAGACTTTGTCCAGGCTTTCATGTTGGGTTTTGATGTTGCGGATGCCATTACTCTTTTGAGGTTGGATGAGCTATATGTGGACTCCTTTGAGATCAAGGATGTCAAGACACTTAGAGGAGAGCACTTGTCTCGTGCCATAGGAAGGCTGTCCGGGAAAGGTGGTAAAACAAAGTTTGCTATTGAGAATGCTACAAAGACTAGGATTGTCATTGCTGACACCAAGATTCATATACTGGGATCTTTTGCCAACATCAAGATTGCAAGGGATTCTCTTTGCAGCCTCATTTTAGGTTCCCCTGCTGGGAAAGTTTACTCAAAACTTAGACAAGTTACTGCCAGATTGGCAGAAAGGTTTTGATCGTTGTTATTTGTATTATGCATGGGATTTTGTTCTCAGAGTTATGGATTTTTTTGGTCATCCACTGTGAAACCAAAAACAAAATGAAAGACAAGATCAACAGGATAGAGTATTCTTTGCCTCTTTGGAGTGTAATTTGGCATGAAATTTTTACAGAAGCAATGAGTGAATTTTCTGGAAACTACCTTTATAATGTTTCTTTAAGAATTTTACAATGAAATTTATTCTACTGATGGTGGTGTTTGCATTCCTTGTGTTGTTACATTTTGCATTTTGGAATATGATCTATAAATTTCTCAGATGGATCGTTTCTTGGCTATTCAGATATTCATACGGGACAAACCTGGCATTACCTACCAAGCCAGACAGAAAATCATGGGAGTATTCTTTTTAGCAGCTATGGCCTTACTCTCACAAATTAGAGAGAACCTGAATTTTAAGAACTTGTCTAGAGGAAAGAAGTTTGTGTAACAACTAGAATAGATCTTAGTACTGCTAGTCAAGGATATGGCTATGGAAACTAGCACAGCAACACTATTGTTACTGAAATAAAAAAAAATCAGTTCTTTTCAATGGACTATATCACGTACAGAAATCTGCAGTTAAAGCAAAATTATTTATATATAGAGTTTCAACTGAGGAAATCGGAGTAGTTCCCATTTTTTTTTTTTTGAATTGCAACAATTAGTCAGTTGTGTACAAACAGTTCAATCAAATGGATATAAAGTACAGAATTTTTAATTTGTAAAAGTTTGTCATTGAATAACTGAAATCAACATTATTTCTAAGAATGAAGATTGCAAATCATCTTCAGCCTCCAAAGAGAATCCCAGCAGCCTGTTCTTCATTGCCATCACATAGTTTAAGAGCTTCTATCACCATTTCTCTTGCAAACCCCAGCTCAACAAGCTTTGCAACTTTGGCTTCAAAATCAGGTCTCTGAATTAAAAAAGCGAATTCTCAAATTTACACTAGTGATCAACTTGAAGATATATAGGAAAAGGAACAGAACCAACTTCCTCAGGTTATCAAATACAGCTTAGAGAAATTTTCTACAAAGAAGCTAGCAAGGAGTAAATGAATTGTTCAGAGCAGACACATGTATATACCTGTGTCACATCACCGCGTGCACCTCCTGGGAGCAAAGAAGAAAGAGAAGGAATGAAATTTGGAAGCAGAACAAGATTCATTTACATACAGCTTTAATAACACCTCTTCCAAATAATAAAATCTTGCTTAGGTAAAAAAACACAAACTACTACGGGAAATATGTACCAATCACTCAAACAATAAACTTGTATTTAAATGAATTTCTAGAAAAAAAGCAATAAGAAGCATGCCATGACAACATGAGTCAGATGCCGATTACTAACCAGAAGGTTGACCTCCCGATTGCACATTAGCATTCTCTGTTGTTTCAGTTTTTCCCTGAAGAATCACAAAAGATCAGTGCCAAAAAATGCTTCTCCACTACACAAAACAATGTAACACTTGGGGGATGTAGCTATATTCCCCACAAATATGGGCATTTGTGGAAGCCACATAATTCTTCTGTGAGACAAAATTTCAAGGTAGAAAAGACTCAGAAAATGAATAAAAATTGCAGACTGGGGTAGCTCGGCAGTTGTAGACATGAAACTTATTTCAGCAAACTATACTAACGTAGCAATCAATTTTGAGGGGAATGGATGCACAGCAGCTGATAAGGTGAAACAACTTATTGATTTATAGTATTTGTGTTCAAAGTAGTCTATAGAACAAAATTTATAAATTTATAGTCATTTATTAGAAAACATGCACAATTGAATCAAGTTAAACCCTTCTGTAGCAGATGGATAAAAGACTTACAGCAGCTCCAGAGCTGGATGCTTGCTTCGAATACTTTTCTTCATCAAGGAAGCGAGAAGGAATGTCCTTTTCTGAGAAGAGTAAATACTAGGTTAACTTCCATTGTACGAAAAGAAATTCAGTAGCACAAATTCATGAAAGAGATTGACACCAATGACCACATGGTAATTGGTAACTTTGAAACACTTGCATAATATACTGATTAAAGTCACCAACCTTGCAAAAATGGTACAGAAACCTCTCCTCCTCCTACTCTAAGAACATTCTCCTTCAAATCAATAATACACTGTACAAATGTGCCCAAGTAAGGATTATGCAAACTTAAAGAATGTAGGCACTAAATTGGATGGATCCATCATTACATTTAGCAGAGGTGAAGCTACCTGGTGTTTACGCAGCATATCCAATCCAAAGAGAAACTCCATATTGGGAGAGTCCAAGACCAAGAAGGAGCACGGATAAAATATATTTCCGATCTACAATAACATAAGAGAAACCAAGAGTTGGATGCAGCATTAACCATAATGACTAAGTGTATGTTCATATCACCAATTATTAGCATGTCACATAAGATGATAAAAGACAATTATAAAATAATAAACAAGACATAGGATGAGGATTATTTATTAGATAAATTTCATATAAAAGCAAACAAAAAGGATAAAGAAAATTACACATAATGTTATACTAGAAAACCAATACACATTCTACCTTGATTGGAGCAACATGTATTCGTCCCAGTATCTCTGATTGGCCAACTCCATGAGCAATACCTTTATATCTTTGATCTAAAAGCCTCAGCAATCTGGAGGGGACAACACCAGCACAGCAAGATAAATGCTCTCGATCTTAAAAGTCTTTTGAAGTGACAAATATAATTGCATGACTAATAAAAGAATGAAAAGAAAAAATTCAATCAACAGAATACCCCCTTTTCAAGAAGCCAGACAATAATGTCAATTACAAACCCCCCCACATTTTCTCCATGTAAGAAAGGAGGGAGAGGAATATTTCAATAATTAACTCAATTGTTCTATGATAACTTATATGGCAAAGGGATTTGTTATATATGCAAAAAAGACAATAGTACATACCCACATCGCTCAGCACAGCTTTTTGAAATTATTGTTGACTGTGCACCACTATCAACAAATGCCTAAAAAAGAATGATAAAGTAACAAATTTAATAAACTTATAAGAGTCCAATATCAACATCAAGGCATATGTGACAGAACAATATTACGATAATGCAGAATCTCAACTAAAACATTATAATAAACAACTGGAACAGAGTTTCTTAGAAGGTACAAAGGAAAGGAAAGGATAGTCCCATGATGTAAATTGTTCTGAGAAGTAAAGGAGAACATATTGCAAAGGGTATGAATTATGATAGAACCTATAGGCTACAATCACATAATGATGACCCTTGTGCAATATAAATACAGGACCAGGCATTGTCTTTACCTTCAATGGGACACCATTAACCTCCATATCCACGTACAACATAACCTGATTAGTATGACAAGAAACATTACATTCTTAAAGGGAAGAAAGTAATAAAATTTAATAGGTACACTTCATGAGGGAAACAAGCCTACATACCACCCTTGCAAAACCTTCAGGATTATATTCCAAGGCAGCAGCCCAGTTCTCATCAATCCCTTTCTGCATCACAATATTGTAAAAGGTCAAAAAACCAAGAGATCATATTGTCCAGAATAATGAGTGATAAGTATGGAGATATAACAACCTTTGTCAAACCATAGATTAACATGACACATTTCAAATGCAAACAGGTTCCAATTAAGTTAGGTTAGTATAATGTTGCAGAAAACTAACCTGCCGAATGGCAGCTTCAATTTTCCTTTGTGCTTCAACATCAAAGGGATCAGCCTGAAGAAGAGCCTGTGGAGCAAAATCAAATAAATTAGTATCAATCACAGAGATGTCAGGACAACATAATTTTATCATAAGTATGATTAAGCTCTTTTAGAATTTAGAAAGTTCTCCATAATTTTATCAAATTGTGATATAACAAAGCAAAACACAGAGTAGTGAGGTACATATGACCACTGATTCACAACCAACTATAGGCAAAGAAAATTAGGAGAAGCTACTTACAATCTCCTCCTCCTCTCGTCGTCGCAATTCAGATCTTTGTTGATGACGTGCTCGCAGAATCTCCTGCAGTTTGTTGAGATCATTTCCAACAACAGCTTGTGCAAGTTCAGGGTCAGTCTGAAATAGTTGTCCAATCAGATTAGAATCACGTCGAATGTGTTGCTGGAAAGCTCCGGGGTTCACAGCAGATCCATCGGGTTTGAAGCTCAAATCATTGGCAGATGCACTGCAATGATTCATATTTTATCAATCAACAAAAAAGTATAAAAGAACTTTCCAGGAAATAAAGATACAGGAAAAAAAGTCACTTTAAAATCTAATAATAAGCATCCACGCCAGGTCAGTGATATTTCAAAAGATCAGAAGAAAATGAAGCAATTGGATAGCAATGCATTTACCTAGAAGCAGCATGGGAGACCATCATAACTAAATCATCATCCTTAACACCCAATGCACTCAATTTCTCAGAGTTGTTCATTTCCCTCCCATTATACAGCAGTTGCTGCTGCTGTAATGGCACCGTAGTCTGCCCATAAACCGAAACAAGCTCTAACCAATCAGCATAAGCTTAGCTCCACAGTCAACTCTCAAAACTCCAAAATTTATAAAGGAAGCTTCTTTTTTATGAAAGAACAGGAAAAAATTGAATCTTTTATGAACTAACATAAGTTAATATATCTCAATAATTGACTTCCAAAAACCCGAAACCCTCGGAAGAAAACTAAAGAAAGTAAAAGCAAAACGCTCCAAGCTAACCCCAAAAGGATTAGCTTATTTAGAAACGAAGCACATATAACCAAGGATACTGATTTCTTACCTCCACTTCCAGCAAAGCTTTCAAATTTTCAACCTATTAGAAACAAAGGGAAAAAATCAGCAGAGCAATAGAAATTTAGAATAAATATAAAGAACGGATAAAAGGGTACTTAACAGTTTCATGAGGATCAACATCTAGGCTAAGGATCTGTTCATCTGCCGTCATTACAGTAATTTTCATCCTGGCCTTGGCTTTGGATCTTTTTTTTTCCTGCGTGTGGTTTCTCTAGTAGCCTGTTGGGTTTAATTTAATGTACGTGTGAAGGTTAATAATAAGTAGAAGCAGTAACATAAAGAAAGGAGAGGACTTTACCTTGTCTCACTTGGACTTGCGTTGCTTCCTTATTAAGGAGTTTCTGTTCTGTTCGGTTTTTAACTTGGTGTCGAAGATGAGAAACAGATGCAAATGATTGTCTACATTGCGGAGTACAATTAACCGCTGACATGGCATCATGTTATTGGTTGTATTGTTCAGTAATACTATAAGTAGTATATTATTGGGTTTGACCGTGAGGTAGCAAACAGTCATTAGATGGGATGAGATGTAGAGTCCGGGTTCTAATCTAAACCTTTTCACCTCTTGAGTTCACAAATGTAGCTGGCTTTGAAGTGAGTTGGGACTTGGGGTGCACTATTGGGTTGCTTTGTCAAAGGTCGAACTTAAGAGTTAGTTCATGTTCTCGTATGAAAAGTAATTTAAATACAATTGAAACCCCATACAATTGTAAAATTTGACCCCTAACACTCCTTTTAGAGTATCCCCTCCATAGACTTTCACTGATTCTTACCTTTTGAGCGTTCGCATAAAAGCTTGGGTAGGGCATAGAGGATCTCATATGAATCTTAGGCCAATGCAATAAGTGAAAGCAATTGTCTCACTAATTTTTTCTATTCATGCAGATAAGAATAAAGAATCAACTTTTAATCTACTTTAAAGAAAAACAAGAAGGAAATATTTGAGTACAGTGTTCACAGTTTGTTAAGTTCGGTGGTGTAGTTGTTTTGAGATGAGACAATGGAACACGCATCAATCAATTGATTAAAAAGTTGAGAACTTTGATGCATTTGTTGGCAATGGTGGCGTCAAGCCAACCAATCTTCAATCTTTGTCTGTAAAAATGATTCAAATTTGATACTCAAAATATCAATTCACAAAAAAAAAAATTATAAAAAAAAACAAAATTCAAGAACCATCATACCACATTACGAACAAAAACAAATAATAATAGAATTAAACTTCATAAACCCCAACAAAGAACAATTTCAAATGGCAATTTCCAATTACAATATGAAATTAAAAACAATAAAGAAAAAAAAAGCCTAGAATTTATAAAGGAGGAGCAGCACCATAACCCAAGAAAGGCCTTCCACAACAAGAGAGTTTAGGATTACAATCCTCATGCAATGTATCCTTGAGCTTGTGAAACCCATTCTTGAAGACCCCAAACCCAAACAAAAAGCCAATCAACACCACCACCAGAATCAGGCACGTGCACAGCATGCACACTCTGCTCCCACAACACATCTTTGCACAAAAAAAGAAAACTTTCTGTTCGGGGTTTTTGGTTTCAGGTCCTTAGGAAGAGAAAGAAAGAGATATGTGAAGAGAGGAGTGGGAAAGGGGAGGTTTTTGGATCTGATTCTGAGAGAAAAACGTGGAGTGAAGGGGAAAGTGGACTGCTTGAAAATAGTTGGACGTTAGGGGGGGATTGAAATTGAATTTGTTGGCGTTGGCTGGCTTAAAAGGTAAGCAAAGGGGAGATTTAATTTTTAAAAGATTGGGAGATAGATTCTTTATTAACTACAAATCTCATCCAACAAGAGAAAATCAAAAACTTCAAATCCCATTTTAAGTTTGGCATGATGATCCATAAAACGATTCGAAAGTAACTTTGCTTATAAAGAGTGAATTTTTGGATTTTGGATGGGTGTTCTCAGCTGATGCGGCTGAGATGAAGTTGGAGTTACGTGGGGTTTTGGCCTATCAGAGAAAACATTTTCAGGCTCAATCAAAGTTGTTGATTGTCATCCCTTAACTTTTTTTCTTTGAAATGGTTGTCTCCTTGATCATGCTTCACATGGAAAATTAAGCCAAATTATTGAGTTTTCAGACCCTAAACTATCAATCAAAGTGAAACCAAATTTTAATTTTAGTCTAAACTCCATTTATTACCGAAGCCTTTGCACTTTGGAGTATAGGGACATCCTTTCTACCTTGTTTTTTCAATGCCACACTTGATTTAAAAACTGAATTGAGTACTTATGGTAAAAGTATATCATTTCTTCCACCAAAAACAAAAAAGTAGTAAATATTTCCTCTTTAACCCCTTAAGCCTCTCCAAAGTCCCCACCTCTTCACTTCCAAGTCACCGTCATTCATATTCAGATGACTCTTCTCTTTCTTCTGCTCCTCCTCCTCCTTCTCCTTCTTCTTCTTCTTCAGCACTCTCAAAATTCTCTTCTGCTCTTCCTTTCTTTTCTCAGATCCTTCACTTCTGCAACAAAATACAAATACCCCATCTTTTCACTTGTATAAAGATCACATTTTTTCTCTCATAGAACCAAAAAGATCCTTCTTTTTTTCCTTGTGAGATGGCTTCAACAGGAAACCCAAATCAAAGCATGCCATTTGATATGCAGAAATTCTTCAAACCCACAATTTCAAACCCATCAACAACACCTACAAACAACCCCCCACCACAAAATCTCTCCTCTGCTTATCCTACACCTCCTTCTTCTTATCCTCCACCCTCTCCCCCTTTCTTTCACCCCCAGTATCACGAATTCTACATGCCTCCTTCCTCTACTCCCCTTCCAATTTTCCAAAACGCCCCACAAGATGTTAAATCCCTTTCCTTTCCTTCCCCTCCTCTTAGCCCCTACAATGCTGGTAACCACATTCTTGCCCTTATCAATTCCTCCCCCCAAAACCCAGATTTCCCCCCTCAAAATCAGCTTACTCAACGGCCGCAACCACCACCTGCAGAGTTTTTGGGCTCTGGGGGACCCAATGTGGGGCCTTTAAGGGTGCCAAGTTGCAAAGTGCCCAAGGGCAGGCGGTTATCAGGCACTCATGTGGCTTATGATATTGATACGAGGCTGTCCGGGGAGGTTCAGCGGCAGCTTGAGGCCACCCCCATAACAAAGTATGGTTCTAACCCTCAGCTGGTACTGGGCAGGCAGATTGCTGTTAATAAGTCTTACATTTGTTACGGCCTGAAAGGAGGCAGTATCCGTGTTCTTAATTTTAACACTGCATTGATGTCTTTGTTTCGCGGGCAAACCAAGGTTTTGCTCTTTAAATTTAGTAGCTTTTTGTAGTTGTGTGTTGGATTAAAATTTAAAATGAATGTGGTAATAGAATTGAGGTTAGGCTTTTTTTTTGCTTATTGTCTATTTATCCAAGTGACATTTTCTATTCTCTCAGAGGGTCACAGACATGGCTTTCTTTGCTGAGGATGTTCACCTTTTGGCTAGGTACTTTTCTTTCACCTTTTGGCTAGTTACTTTTCTTTCTTTAATTGGTAATTACACTGCATTTTCTTTATTGCATCTTGGTGATACACTTTTATGCAGTGTGAACCTAGAGGGACGGATATTTGTATGGAAGATATTCGAAGGTCCAGATGAAAAAGAAACGCCACAGATTACAGGAAAGATAGTTACTGCTGTTCAGATATTAGGAAACGAGGAATATGTACATCCACGTGTTTGTTGGCACCGGCACAAACAAGTAATGCAACTTTTTAATGCTCATCCTTAATGAGAGGGTCATTAGTGTTTTGGTGCCAACAAGTATTGCAATCTCATTTTGCAGGAAGTTTTGGTGGCTGGTATTGGAAAACACATTCTGAGAATTGATACTATGAAAGTTGGGAAGAGTGAAGCCTATTCAGCAGATGCACCTTCACCTCTGCAATGTCCTATTGACAAGTTGATTGATGGGATTCAGTTGATTGGTAAACATGATGCAGAAGTTACTGATGTGTCAATGTGTCAATGGATGATTACCCGCTTGGTTTCTGCTTCTACAGATGGCACGGTTTGTATTTTTACTTATCATTTCCTTATATTGATTTGTGGATATCTGTCTGGTCTCTTCATTTCATTGTGGTAGTGTCACGGAACTAAGAGCCTTGTTTTCTATTGGCTAGTGCTGAAATTTCATGTTGAATATATGAGTAAATGCAGTTATGTCTTGCATGCTTTACTTACAAGCTTATGTTATGCAACAGATAAAGATATGGGATGACCGCAAGGTGGTGCCACTAACAGTTTTGAGACCACATGATGGCCAACCTGTTTTTTCAGCTACATTCTTGAATGCACCTCACCGACCAGATCATATTATACTCATCACAGGGGTAATGATTGTCGTGTTCTCTCTCTCTCTCTTTCTCTCTCCTTATCACTGTGCCAGTATCATGCTTCTGCAGTTCTGCCTATTTGTCATGCACTGACTTGTTGATATAAAGTTTATAGTTGTGCAAATTCTTGTTGATCTGGTTGGTGTGACTTAGGGTCTATGTGTTTACCTCTTGACTTCAGTCTATTTTAAATGGGTTTCAATTTTTTCAAAAATTTAAATTCAGGGTTGTATTTCTGATTTACTTTTCCATGTGACAGTCTTATTGTTCTGATGAATAGCCATTTATCTTAGTTGGATTTTTTGACAATTTTTTCCAGGGGCCCCTAAATGAAGAAATCAAAATTTGGACATCAGCAAGTGAAGAGGGTTGGCTACTTCCAAGCGATACTGAAAAGTGGACTTGCAACCAGACATTAGTCTTGAAGAGTTCTGCTGAACCTCAAATTGAAGAAGCATTCTTCAATCAAGTTGTTGCATTATCTCAAGCAGGCCTTTTCTTACTTGCAAATGCTAAGAGAAATGCTATATATGCTGTACACTTAGAATATGGTTCATGTCCAGCAACAACATGCATGGATTACATAGCAGAATTCACCGTCACTATGCCCATGTTAAGTTTTACCTGGGGAAGTGATCTTCCAGATGAACATATTGTTAAAATATATTGTGTTCAGACACAGGCTATCCAGCAGTATGATTTGGAGTTATGCCAATGCATCCCACTACCACTGGAAAATACGGGCTTAGAGAAGTCAGATTCAAGTTTTTCACATGATGCAACAAACATTGAAGGCTTTGATGCTTTCGGTCCATCTGTAAATAATCCTTCCGAGTTACCCTTTTATGGTTCATTTCCCAAACCAAGTACACAAGTAAGTAGCTCTGAAAATTCAAAAACAGCATGGTATCCTTCAAGCCCACATTCTATCGAGGCAAGCACTGTACAAGAGTTTAATACTTCGAATATTGATTCTATATCTGCTCCTGCTGCTTTGGCATCAACAGCAAGTGATGCTGATATTGTTTGTGTTGCATCGCCACCACCACATCCTCCTAGTCCTAGGTTGTCTAGAAAGCCCTCTGGTTTTCATAGTCTAGCAAATAGCTTTGAGCCAACTTCCCAGCTTGGTGACCATGTTAGGAACCAACTGGTTACGGAGTATCCAGTTGACAGACAAATGAACACTTTTCGAGCAAATTTGTCTGCTATGCATTCATCAGAAGATGGTTTGAGGAATGATGAGAAGAAAATAATATCAAATGAGAAATCTAGTGCATGTAATCCGCCTATTATTTTCAAGCATCCAACTCATCTTGTGACTCCTTCTGAGATATTGATGTCTGCATCATCTTCTGAAACTACTAATGTCATTGAGGGAAAGAGTGAGGGCGGGGTGAACATTCAAGATGCGGTTATCAACAATGATATGCATAATGCTAAAGTGGAGGTAAAAGTGATGGGTGAAGCAAGATCTTCTCAGAACAATGAATTTGGTTCCCATGGAGGCTACCAAAATCAAAATTTTGAAAATAGAGAGAGATTCTTTTGTTCTCAGGCTTCAGATCTTGGCATTCAGATGGCAAGGGAGTGTTGTGCAATATCTAGGGATGCTTACATTGTTGACAAATCTCAGCTATCAGATGGTGTTGGTGCATCAGGTTCTCTTGTGCAACCTAATGTTGGTGAGGAAAAAATCCATGATTCCAGAAAAGATCTGTCTGAAAAGCTTTTGGAATCAGCCATACCTTCTTCATATATGCAATCACCAGCATCAGCAACAAAAGGCAAGAAGCATAAGGGGAAAAGTTCTCAAGCATCTGCTCACTCTTCTCCATCTTCAAGTGCTTTCAATTCTGCTGATTCTTACACCGAACGGGGAGGCAAGATACCCTTGACAGGTGCTGCATTTCCTCAAATTGTGGCTATGCAAGAGATGCTTAATCAGGTGATTGCCTATAGGCAGAAAATTGGAAGAAAAAAATGGTTACACCTGTATACATCTGTTTTATGTGCATTTTTTCTGTGTGGTAATAGTTAAATATGCTGGGGACCTACACTTGAGTATCTGTAATTGTCTTTAACAGTTTTCAATTGGGTTCATGATCATTGATGGTTTCATAATTTTGGTAAATTTAATTTAGCCCTTACATAAAAATTGACCCTTGTGCCTTTATTTGTTTATATAAAAATCGTTTATATAAAAATTGACCCTGATGCCCTTATATAATTATGAAATTGTCCCCTATGCTAATAAATTTTTGCAAACAAATGTAATTTAAAAGTATTTACCGCACCTTATATGGTATCTGACCGTGATTGCTATCATTCTTGCAGCTAATTGCCACACAAAAGGGAATGCAGAAACAAATGTCAAATATTGTCAATGTCCCTGTCACAAAAGAAGGCAAAAGACTAGAGGCAGCTCTAGGACGGAGCATTGACAAAGCCATTAAGGCCAACACTGATGCTCTATGGGCTCGATTTCAAGAAGAGAATACAAAAAATGAGAAATTGGTGCAAAAATGTACTCATCAAATAATGAGTTTGATCTCTAATTTTGTAAACAAGGACTTGGCGGTTATGTTAGACAAAGCAGTCAAGAAAGAATTAGCTGGGGTTGGACCAGCTGTGATTCGTACTATTACTCCTGCAATAGAGAAAACAGTAACTTCAGTAATCACTGAGTCCTTCCAGGTTAGACTTCTAAAGTCTAGTTCTTTTGCTAGAAAGCTGTCTTAGTGGAATCTAACTAGTCGTTTCTGTGACAGAGAGGGATTGGAGATAAGGCAGTGAATCAACTAGAAAAATCAGTTAATTCAAAACTTGAAGCTATAGTTGCCAGGCAAATTCAAGCACAGTTTCAAACTCAAGGCAGGCAAGCACTCCAGGTATGCACAATTTGACTTCACTCAGTTGAATAGCTGAAGAGGTATATTTTCTTTCTTTTGTTATAAGATAAAATTATTGTCATTTGGCATATTCCAGGCAATCTCTGGTCATTTGTTTATTTATTGTTTATTTTTCTTAGGAAGTTCTGAGGACAAGTGTGGAAGCTTTAATGATCCCTGCCTTTGAGATGTCATGCAAAGCCATGTTTGAGCAAGTAGATGCTACATTTCAGAAAGGGATGGTTGAACATACCAGTGCTGCTCAGCAACACTTAGTGTCTGCTAGTTCTTCTTTGGCAATTGCTTTAAGGGTATATTTCCTTTGTCACATATTCTATTTCACTAGAAGGCTGGTCATTTTTGTTCTTTTTCCAAGATTTATTTCATTTTAGCATTAGATGTTGTATAACTTAATGGTAAGGATTATTGGTGTGTGATGGTTCTCTTTGGCCATTTGTGGTAATATGCATTAAAGCATGCAAGGTTATTTGCTGCTGTAGAGCCCTTGTTCAATGTGTGTGTTGGTTAGTTAACTGTTGTTTTTCAAAAGTATTTTTGTATAATTTTCTCCTTCGAAATTTGTTGTAATTGTAGGATGCCATAAATTCTGCATCATCCATTGCTCAAACCTTAAGTGGAGAATTTGCTGATGGACAAAGAAAACTTCTAGCAATTGCAGCTGCTGGAGCTAACTCAAATGCAGTGAGTCCGATGGCTTCCCAACTTAGCAATGGACCTTTAGGTGCCATCCATGAAAAGGTATGTTTGTTACACCCATTAGCTTTGGTTTCTCTGCAAGAAGTTAACACTTAATAAACCTGCACTGCCAAGGTCAAAACTGGCTGTTCATATCACTTCTTTTTTTGTAAATGTTTCAGTTGGCTACTAACTATTTAATCTTAAAAGGACTTTCTATCCGTGCCTCAGGTTGAGGTGCCCATGGATCCAAAAAAGGAGCTATCAAAGTTGTTATCAGAATGCAAATATGATGAAGCTTTCACTATTGCCCTGCAAAGAAGTGACCTCTCTATCGTTGCCTGGTTATGTTCACAGGTATGCATTTAATATTTAACTGTAAAGATTATATGAAGTCTGAATCGACAATTTTGGCTGAGCTCTGCATGATTTCCAATTCATGTTGATTTTAGGTATCAAGTAGGCTATGTGACCATTGATCATTCCTCTTCTCATTCTCCTTACTCCCCCTACATTTTTCCCAGTGCTTCTTGTCTGAAATTTTGACTTGGAGCTTTTGGTTAAATGTCTTTGCAGTAGGTATGAAATCTTATTCTTTTGCCTTTTGCTAGGTTGATCCACGAAGCATTCTGTCAACCGCCACTTTTCCTTTGAGCCAAGGGGTGCTGCTTTCCCTCTTGCAGCAATTGGCGTGTGACATCAACAAGGACACACCACGAAAGCTCACATGGATGGTAGATGTGGCCACCGCTATAAACCCAGGGGACCAAATGATTGCAGTGCATGTGAGGCCTATTTTTCAGGATGTATATAAGAGAGTTCATGACCTGAGTAGCTCAGCTCTGCTTGCGGGTGCTGAACATGCAAGTATCCGTGCTCTATTTTGTGTCATCAACTATGTTCTAATGACTTGTAAATGATGAACACGAGGATTTTGGTGTTCTAATGACTTGTAAATGATGAACAAGAGGATTTTGGTAGTCACAAGATTGTACAAGTTTCTGGTTGTTTTCATGTAAGGAGGGAAGGGCCCTCTGCTTTTGGGGTACAGGAAAATTGGGTCCTGATTTCGTAATCCATAGAGAATTTGGAGTATAAGAAAGAATTCAACACTATTTCAGATTTATTATCTTTTTTATATTCTGCAACTCTCGCTCACATTTATCTTCTATCCCTTTAAGTTTTGGTTCCTTTTTTTTTTTTTTTTTTTTTTTATTTTGTGGTTTAAGTGGGAGAGTTCTAATAAAACTTAATTTTTTAAATTAATTGAAGATAAATATGAGGATTATTTAATTAGATGATTTAAATAAAAATTGGTGGTGGAGAAAACTTTTGAGGCAGAGACGGTGCGTTTCGGCGTAATAAATGATGAAACTTTGGAACCTTGGTACGTCTGTATCTCGAATCCTCTGCTCCTAAGCGTAAAAAATGTCATATTATTCTTTATCTTCTGCTCGCATTTTCACTTCCAAATTCCCAATCTCTTTCCACCCAACAAAGCCCTTCCTTTGCCCTTCAAAACCCTCCAATTTTTCGTTCTTTTGCAACAGATCCATCTCTTTCCAAAAGATCCCAACTAAATCACCCCCTCCTCTCCAATCATCCGCATCAAGCTCCACCCAACTCCAACCCATGGAAGAACTCCCTCCTAAGCTCCAAGAAATCATCAAACTTTTCCAATCTGTTGAAGAACCCAAGGCTAAGTACGAGCAGCTTATGTTTTATGGCAAAAATTTGAAACCTCTCGATACCCAATTCAAAACTAAGGAGAACAAAGTTGAGGGTTGTGTTTCTCAGGTTTGGGTCAGGGCTTATCTTGATAAAGACAGGAATGTTGTCTATGAAGCTGATTCTGATTCTGTTCTAACCAAAGGACTTGCTGCTTTGCTTGTTAATGGATTATCTGGAAGGCCTGTCCAGGAAGTCTTGAGGGTTTCTCCTGATTTTGCGGTGCTTCTTGGGCTGCAACAGAGCTTGACACCTTCCAGGAATAATGGGTTTTTGAACATGTTGAAGTTGATGCAAAGGAAGGCACTTGAGTTGCTTATTGAAGCCGAGAAGGGTAGTGGGTCTTCCGGTAATGGTCAGGTTGTGGGTGATGGATTAATTTCTCAAGTGGGTAGCAGTGAAAAACCTGTTGAGAACTCAATTTTGGATATAAAAGTCGATGAGAATTCAGGTGGTGGATCGAGTTCTCAAAAAGGTCGTGAGCAAAGTTCAAGTGGTTTGGGAAGTAGAGGAATGAGGATCAAGGAGAAGCTGGAGAGGGAGCTTAATCCTGTTGCTTTAGAAGTGGAGGATGTTTCTTATCAGCATGCTGGACATGCTGGTGTGAGGGGAAGTGATGGGGAAACACATTTTAATCTGAGAATTGTTTCGAAGGAATTTGAAGGGAAGAGTTTGGTTAAAAGGCATAGGTTAATTTATGGTTTGTTGGATGAGGAGTTGCAGAGTGGATTGCACGCCTTGTCTATCGTGGCAAAGACACCAGCTGAAGTTGAAGCAAAATGAAGAGATGTCATGACTAGTGGAAAATAGGTTCGTTCTTTTAATATATTATGTTTTGATCATTCGATGCTTTAAATTCGATATGGAGAGCTGTATTTTGTAGGTTTTGAAAAGGTGTTTAATTGAGAAATGGGAATCTTGTACGTTGGATTTTTGGCAATGCATAAATCAGTTACTTGTTAGTCAAATTTTTAAATAACTAACGGCCAATGTGGCTGTTTTGTTTGGATATTTTTCACATTATTTGTTGTTGAGGCTTAATTTCCTTGGTTGGATTTTCATTGGAAAGTTCAGGAATTTGATTTGAAGACAATGTGCAGTTGTGAATTGTGTGGATTTTAGGGCCTAATCCTACATGAGGGACTGTCGCTAAGGTGAATAAGATAATTACTACAGCTCTTGGTTCATCCTTTCCTGCTATTGAGTTCTTTGTGCATTCCTAGCTAGCATGTTAACAATAAAAAATTCATGGTATTCTGTTCTATTATTATGCATAAGGCTGTTAAAACATGGTTGTTCATTTTATTCTATCATTAAATTTAATTTTTAAGGCTATTTAAACATAGTCGTTTATGTATATTTATATAACTTCAGAATATGGAATTTGAGCTAAATATTTTACAATTGTTGCATTTTCTTTCTTTTGGGACTAGTGCATAGATTATAAGGTGTAAAGTAGAGGTTTGTTGGTTGTAGTGAGAATCAGATAAATTGAAGGGGAATTAAAACAGTTAGAATTTCATGAGAAGAGAATGGTGCGATGAAAATTGATGCGTGGTGTTTATGGTTTATTAGATGCATAAGATCTAGTTGGTTTCATGGAAGTTGATTGTCAACGTCCCAATGGATGACCCATCCAGTTGGTTTCTACTACTGCAGGCACCACATCTTCTGTTGATCCTTATTATTTTGCTATATTTGATACTCCATAGTTGTTATACTTGTTAATTGTGTGGATTTTTATCAGTTTTCTAATCAAACTCTTATGTAAAACGGTTAGCTTTGGTAATTTTTGAAAGCTGGTGGCCAAAATGGGCTAGATAGTATTGCTTTAACTTGCAGGGATGTGTTTGTCTTTGTTGCGTGACACCAAAGCATTACTTGTCCATCATGATAAATTAGGTAAAGATCAATGAATTACCCTTTCATTGGACTCCATAGGTTGTTAAATGATCGATGTGTTTGGCACGACAGTTAAGGATTTGATATCTGGACCATGCCATTCAACTGATTGGATTCTCTCTAGTGGAGTGTTATCTAAAGCAATCTATTGATACCCCAATTACTGTTAAGATTAAGTATGAGCCTTGTGTTAGACTGTTTTAACCTAATAAGTCCAGGGCCTGCTGTGCATCTAAAGTCTTTTTGTTTTGAATTGAAAGCTGTCGTTCATGATGTATGAGCATTGAGAGACTGCAAAGTGTCTGGGATGTAGCTGTTCTTCCAGCGTGCAATAAAGATAAAGATAAAGACGTAGGTAGGAAAGGAAATGTGTGTTGAGAACACTGAGCTGTGGTGTTAATTGCATTTACCATTCATCTTTTCACTCCCAGTAAAAACCTACTGCATCACCTTTGTTTCCTTTTCCAAAATTTCAATCCTCACCGATCGCAAAACCTTCTAATATGCTTCCTGATTTTCTGAAGTAATTGTTGATCAGTCATCATTTCAATACTTGAATTTTGCTAAACGAGGTGGTAGGCATTTCTGAGTTTCTGCTCAATTTCTTATACTTGTTACAAGGTTTTAGCTTGTGTATGTAGAAATGCAGACCCCTCCTGAATTCTACTGAATTACCATGTTTTATGATGGAGCTGTGAAGAAAGCTATCATCAGATGAAATATGCAATGCAACCATGCCGTTAATGGCATTATGTTTTTTGATAATTGGGAAAGAGTGGGGACCATAGGTGATGCCTGATGAGCCTATAGGAAGATAATTCTGAATTCGATGGAGGACAAACAAGCAACAGGAGAAAAAGTTTCAAGTAAAAGGGTGAAGATCAAGTGGAAGGCCCATTTATATATGTTATGTTAGTAGAATTGTTAAGAGCAGTTTTAATTACCATGAATGGATGAATAGATAGGCTGGAGGAACACGTGGTTTTGGCTCACTTTTTGCATTGTGTGTCTTTCTTTAGCTCTATGATTGAAGGCTTCATTAGCAATAACATTTCTCTCTTCCATACTTTCAACTATCAATCATTTATTTGATCAAGGGTTTTGCAGAATGTCTGATCTTGCTAACAGGTATTCTTAGGGCTTTTTTTTTTTTTTTAGATATATTCATCCAAATCCAATGCATTAGTAATTATTAACTATATTGCATTTAATACAAAATTATTATTATAAATGACATATTAACCAATGAATTTGGATCAGCTTGCTTGTCATTGGAATTGTGAAGAAATGTGTAATATCTTTTTCAGCAAAATAAGTATTAGATTCAAGTAGATTAGGAATTAAAAAAATATGTAAAAATTAACAATCGCATTGCCAAGAAGCAAGCTTAAAAAAATACCCAATCTACTCTTATCACACACGCCAAATTCTAAGAAGAATTTACACCAAATTCTAACAAACATTGCCAAGTCACGTGACGTGTCTGAAATTTCCTACATTTTCCCAACAATGTCTGTGTCCTAACTGCTACCAGCACTGATCGGTCTCCCATCTTCTGATCGGGTAAACCCGTCTCCTGACCCGCCTCGCACGTGCCCCCAACGACATATCATACATGGCCCTCGCCAATGGATCCGACAACGTCGCGTATGCGTTTTGTATCTCGATGAAATCACGGCCGTCCGATGACGATCCCATCGCGTCGGGATGGTACACCTTGGCCAATCTCCGGTACGCCGTCTTGATCTCGTTCAACGACGCCGTTCTCTCCACCCTTAGTATCTCATACAAACTCCCCGCCACCACTGCCAGCGCCTCGTTCTTGTTGTCCCTGGCGGTTGCAGACTTAAAAGACGACGACGCCGCCGCCTGCACCGAATTTCTCACAGAAGCAGCCTTTTTCGGCGGCGAAATCGGAGAGAAATTGTTGATGGGTTTAGCGGCGACAGGATACGAGAGGCACGAGTACATTCTAAAAGAATCGCAGCAAGCGTATCATGAACACCAAAAGAGGGATTTTTCTGGGGTTTTGCTTTCGGCTTTGAATTAGCAGAGAGAGAGAGAAAGAGAGGACTGCATTTGGATCGGTCAAAGGTAGGCGCTTTTTAAAGAGAGAGAAAGTAATTGGTGGTTTATTAAGCGAGAGAAAGTACAAAATTGAAAACCACATTAATATATATACATATATATATATATATATATATATGGAAAGGAAAGAAAAAACCGTGTGTGCTCTGTTGGTGGTTTTTCCTTTGGGATTCTGACATGGGAGTTTCTGTCTGAATTTCCGGATTGTTTTAGTTAAAGCTTCTAGAAGATGTCTTTTCTTTTTTTGGCTTCTGCTTAGCCACAGCCGTTTGAGAATTTCCTTCTTTACTCATCTTTTCCGGCTTGGCTTGGCTTTTTTTTTTAAGTGAAAACAAAATCTCAAACGGCTGTGGCTAAGCATTTGTATCCATAAGTGAAAACATTTGTATCCATAAAATTTGTGGATACGAGCCATGCAGCATTTTAGAAATGCAGCTAGTAAGGTTTACTTGGAGCCGAGGGAAAGCTCACATCGCTGAATCAAACCATACATCCTATCCTGGGACCCCCACCCATATTGCACTTGCCAAGGTTTCTAGAAGACTAATAAAAACACCTTCTCTTCTGTGCCTCATTCGACATACAAATGTTTACTACTTACTCTACCTCTCTAGTCCCTAGCTAGGATTATGATCTGTCCTCGACGCGTCAACTCATACGACCGGACGCTGGAGACTCGTGAAAGAGACCACCCACCTTCAATTCGTGAACATAACGAGTGTGTTGGGAAGGAAACTCCTGCCTCTTGCGGGGCTGTTTTGCACGTGCGAGGGCTTCTAGAAGCCCTCCACTCCATCACTCATATTTTTAATATCGTTATTTAATTTTAGCCTCTTTAGGGGCGTTTGGCACGTGACCCAGAGGCCTTCTAGAAGAGTTTCATATACTATAATCTTAACAATCTGAAGAGGAGAGCAGTACCCTTTTATTAGGTCAACAATAATAATAACAAATAAAAAAATAAAGCATTATTATTATTATTATTATCATAATATAATAATTTAACCATTTAACTTCGTCTATTCCCATTTTTTGATTGACCAAAAAAAAAAACGGATTGAAATGAAATAGAAATTATTACTAGAAAGTTAAAAAAAGGAGAGTTAGAAGTTGATTTTGCTGGTTTTGTTTGGGGTGCAATCCACGTATGTGCATGTGGGGTTGAATTGAAATTGAAATAGACATACATACATATATATATATATATATATAATTGGAAAACAGTCAGTTTCAGTTTTTGTTTGATATAATAACGTTGAATCCATGTGATGTAAACCACAAACAAGACAACACCATCCATCCCTACAAAGCTGCAAAGTAAAACCACGACAGCCACATCAAATTAAAGCCAACAGCATATATAGCACACAGCAATTTTTGAATCAAAATGCTAGTCCTCCCCGCCCATTGGATTCATTCCTTCAATCACTTCCCCATGTTTAATGCTCCATCTTGTCTTTAACTTTGTTTTTCTTTTGGATACATGATCTGCTGCTGATGGTATTGGGAAAAAAGCAACAGTAAATATCTGACAACATTGGAGCCTTCATTGGCAAGCACCGAAAAGGCTAGCGCAATACGGATATTTCTAATTAAGGATCCTAACCTAACCCTTCATGCATGCTTTTGCCACAATTTCGTAAAAAGAAAGTAAGCACGAATTCCACTCGCATGCAGGAGCAGTAGCACATATAATTAAGACTTAAAGAGGTAGCTGGTAGCCATGGTGGTATCAGGTTTTTAGTCATATTCATGAGTTAACAAATAATCATAGCACATATAATTAATTCATATTCATGAATTAATTCAGTTTTCCATCATCTTAATGAGTTTAGGACAATATGTATTTACCATAAATTTCATCCGATATATGTAGATATAGTAGCATTAATTTGTGCCTACAAAATGTAAAGTCTAAAAGGAATGAGATATTTAATTACCATAAAGTATTAAGCTTCTAGTTAGTTCGAATATTACTTAAAAAGAAAGGAAAAGCTAGCTACGACTTAAATGTGATAACTGGAAGTCACACCTTATTATTGTATTTAATTATATATCCAATTAATTTCTTCCATCACGATTAAGACTTGAGATGTAGCTGGTAGCCAGGTGGCATCAGGTTTTTAGTCATCTTCATGAGTTTACTAACAAGCATAGTTGAACTATGTCATTTTACATAATTATATATACCGTAAAATCTTATCCACTTCATCAAAAATTGATTCAGTTTTCAATCATCTTAATGCGTTAGCCACAATATTTCATTCGATATGTAAGACCATCAATTTCTACCTACAAAAAGTAAAATCTAAAACTCAAAATCATTGTCAAATAGCACTTGTGCAATAAATTTGTTAAAGTTCCAAACTTAAGCTAAACATCAAATAGTAATCAAGATTCCATCCCATGTTTTAGCTTCCTCGTATAGCCAAGCTACTGTCCAGGTTAATTTGGTGGCAAGTGGCTATTAGGTACTTTTTCATTTCTGTACGGCAACACCAACACTAAAGTTGTTCTAAACAAATGATGCAATGCCATTTGGACCAAAAAAAAAAAAATTTATCCAATACATTATAACTAATTAAATTGTGGATTATTAAGAGAATATCAAGGAGTTTATCACAAATCTTAATTACTTCAAATTCTAACACTTTAATGTAACTAAATTAGATGCCATGGAGACTAATAACAAACCACAATGCATTGTCCTATATCCCCACCCTATACTAGTGCCAATGTCTAGAGTTGAAAGAAACACTACAACAATTCAGATTTTTAGTAACGATTTTATTATAACCGTGAGTTATTTTGTCATATATATTAAATTTTTTGTGACAAAATTTTCTTATGATACTATTATAATAAGTAATTGTAATACATTCTTATTCAGTCTCTAATATAATAGCAATTGTAACGGTTTAAATTTTTTCACAATTAAATTGTCACTATAAAAATGTTCTTGTGACACAATATTTTATCATTATAAAATTATTACTGATAAAGTGAACAAGTTGGCGACAAGTGATTTTTCATGAGAAGTAATTTATTAGTGACAACATATAAAGTAGTTACTATTATTAAATGTTATTGTGATGAAAAAATAATTTGTCACATAATACTTTACTTTTTGTTTCAAAAATTTTTGTCGCCATTAAACATAATATATTACTATCAAGTATATATCATCACAATTACAAATTTATCAGTGACAATTGAAATTGTCACTATTAAAAATATTATAATGATTAGAAGTTTATTTGCTATAATTTATATTGACAAATTTAAGATATTAATTTTTTATTGCAATAACAATTTATGTATTATTAAATTTATTTTTTATTGAAATAACAATTGTAAAATGTTTTTAAATATAAATATATTCGAATTGTTAATATTGAAAATTCATCACTAATATTAGACATAACATAAATTTAATACAATAGTAAAAGAAAATATAAAAAATAAAAAGTTATAATCAATAAAAATATTTAAAATAGATGTTGTGACATGCAAGTATATAATTTTTATTAGTAATTTTTTGTTCATAAAAATAGCATTGTTCTTAATTTTTGTGATTTGTTTAATTAATTAATTAATATTAATAGTAATAACAGATAGGTTTCACATATTGTTTTATATCAACAATAAGCTAGTGGATCATTATTGTTGAACATATCTATTTTTCTTCTGCTTTGATTTCTGTGACCTTCTTGGCCTATTTCTATAAAAGCTTATATTCCAATTCTTTTGTGAATAGCAAAATAATACAGACGACTACAAAAGTTGGGAAAAGAAACATAATCTTTTTTTCCTTTATTGTTAAATTCATTGGAGTTAAAAAAGCAATTGTGAATTTATGGTCCCATGAGTTCTTTTCAACATCAAGATTTATAATTAATAAAAAAATAAAGATTTGTAATCAATAAAAAATAAAAATTTTTATACTTAAACAAAAGTCTCAAACTAAAACTTTAAAAAATTACAAATAGTTATTCTAATCATCATCATCATCCTCAGCCTTAACTTCACTTGTTAGATTTATCTCATCACCATCATCAATAAAAAAAATTTATTATGATCAGATTCATCATCTTCTTCTGCAACATTGAATATATTAAGATTTAATGGACTTCCTTCAACATTTGTACTTGTTAATTCAAACCTATCCAAAGACATCATATTATCACCATCATCCTCCACATTAGATTCATAGGATTTGAAACCTAACTTCTTATTTTCTTGGCATGGCTCATCTTCTACTTTTTCAAAAGGCAAATCATATAAATCACAAGGTTTTGTCTTTACCTCAACTAGTCAATTGGTATCTTTAATATCTTTTACATAATAAACTTGTTTAGCTTGAGAAGCTAAGACATATGGTTTATCAGTTTTCAATTTATGAGTCAAATTGACCATAGGAAACCCAAACTTATTTTCTTTAAATCTTTTTTTGTAATATACATCCTACCAATCACCTTTAAATAAAATGACAACATTTTCTCCAAGATAGTTTAATTGTTTGATTTCTATTAACACACCAAAATAATCTAAGTTACCTTTATTCTCATCCCCTTGCACAAGAATTCCACTATTTTGTGATTTCAATTGCAAGTCTCACTCATTGGTGTTAAACCTCCAACCATTGATAAGGAAGCTAATGTAGTGAAACACTTGTTTATTAGCCCAAAAGCTAGATTTAGTAATTGATTATTAACCAATTCACTTCTTTCATCATACAATTCAATGACTTGTGATAAATGATAATCATTAAATATCCAAAATTAAACATTAAAAATTATATTTATATTCAATGCTTACACATTTCTTAAACCACTGATCAAATTCTTTTGAGTGTCTTTTCTCTACATTTCTAGGATTCTCCTTCTCTGAGTTTTTTCTTATGCATGCTTCACATTTTATAAGAATCAAAATACATGTAGATAGTTAGAAAAAAATATAAATCATGAACAAAATACATAATAACTAACTACAAAGGTTAAATTACTTAACAAATTCTTTGATTTCTTCACAATCTAGAACATACATTATAGCTTGAGCCTATTCAATCAAACTCAGCTCTTCATATTTTTTTTCAAGCAATGGCCTATTAGCTTGAGAAAAAACATTTATCCTTGCATGTGAAGAATCAACACTTCCCTTGTAATTCCTTTCTTTCAACTCAATTCAACTCGGTATCAATTTCACGTAAATATCTTGAACAAAAATGCATGCATTCTTGCACAACATATGCTTTAGCAATTGATCCTTCTAGACGTACCTTATTTTTAACATATGATTTTAGCTTACGTAAAAATTACTCAATAGGATACATCCACCGAAATTGTATTGGCCCAACAAGTTTTGCCTCACTTGCTTAATGAATTGTTAAATGCATCATTATATCAAAAAATGAAAGAGAAAGTATCTTCTCTAACTTAGACAAAATTAATGGAATTGATTACTCAAATTGCTTTAAGTCATCAACATGTAAGCTTTTAGCACATAACTTTCTTAAATAAGTGTTCAACTCAATTAATGCTTCAGATATTTCTTTACACAACAAACCACATAGAACTAAAGAAAGATATTGATGTAAAAATACATGACAATCATGGCACTTTATTCCAAAAATCTTATACTTATTAAAATTCACGGACGAGAAATATTAGAAGAATAGCTGTCTAAAACTTTTAAATCAATTAAAAACTAACTAAATGCTCATTTTTCATTTATTGACATTGTATAACATGCAAGACGAAACACATACCTGCCATCACACTTATGGGAGTACCGTCACTTGTACTAATGTCAGGATAGTTAATTTCATGCTTATTAAATCCGTGTCCTCAGCACGCCAAAATTTGGCAGAATCAGAGAAAACTGCTAATTGATGAATTAGATTTTAGGGAGCAAAAGAGACTTTGGTGCAGGCCTTTGTTTATGATCTGTTGAAAGGCAAAGGTTTAAACGCTAGCTAGGTATGGATTTGCTGTACTGTGATGTTTTATTTAGGTTTAGGAAGGATTTGTACCACCCTCACAATCATGATGAAGTTGATGCATGATGAGTAATTATGCTAATTTTGATGAATCACGACCGCTTTCTTAATGGCTTAATGGGTCGAGTTTTGGAGCTTTGATTAATCCTCTCATATCTTCAGTAGGTCACATCCCGAGTTGGGTATCAGAGAAAATATAGAAGATGGGCCTCATAAAGAACATTACAGCCCAACTCGATCAATCATCCCTGTTTTGGGACGACTTGTAAGATAACTGCAACATCTGCTCTGCCTCTAGAGTCTAGTCTACATACTGCATCTGCAAGCATGCATGGCCACATGTAAGTTGTAAGAATATCATATAATTAAGTCTGGCACTTCTTTCTGCTACATGCATACAACAGCCTGGAATTAAAGCCTATGATATGGACTATGGACCGCAAAAGTGGCTTGGTGTAATGTGTATCAGTGACACTAAGATAACAGTTATATTTGTTACCGTGCACATACACCATGCCTCGCTAATTAGAGTTGCAGCGTCTCTTTTGGTGTAAGATCTGTAATCTGATCTTTAATTTGTGTTTGAGTTGGTTGCTGCTGGCATGGCATCTGTGCCTTTATTATATCCTTGTCGGATGAAAATTGAATGATTTATCATGACTGTTCGAGTCCCACATTTGTCTATGTCCTCATTTATGAACATTTTATGTTTTAATTTTTTTTTTATTTCTATTTTCCATTTATTAAGGCTTGTATTCTTCCACATCATAAGTACCTAAGGAAGTAACTAGAAAGAATACAGTGATGATCGCAATTGCAGTGTCATTGATGCTTGTGTCTCTCTAAATGAGAAGTCTAGCTAGTCCAGTGGACAGTGGTATATTTTTTTTCCCTTCAATATTCGTATTCTGATTGCGGACAAACAAGAGGAGTTTGAATTTTGGATGCTTTTATAATGTTTATTGATATATAATATTGCTTCCAGTTGATTGATTGTTTTGTCTGTGAGCATATATGTCTATAGAATATGCTTGCTTTGCTTTTAGGCCATTATTATTCGGACCCAAATTGTTGGAGATATATATATATATATATATATATATATATATATATGTACACTACTGTTTCTGTTTACTGTTGTAATAGTTTTTGTTTTTATTTCCTTTGTGTTGACTTGATCAGGTTCTTGGTCCTTTTGGGCAGTGGCAGTTTCTGTTCTTGATTCTACTTTCTAGCAACAATAGGAAAATGACTGTTGGGCCTGGGATATCTGTGAGTGATGGAAGGTTGACTGTGTTTGGGAACTGCATCTTGCATGATGTTCACGGCAATGTAGTGATCACACCGGCCGCAGGCTCAGGGGATGCAATGATCAATGGGGCTTTCATTGGAGTCAAATCAGATCAGAAAGGAAGCCGAAGAGTCTTTCCTGTTGGAAAGCTCGAGTATGTTCATCTTCAATGCTCTTAAAATTCGTCACATTTTTCTCTCATGTTATGTTTAATTTGTGAGAGAAGCAGAGAGAAAACTTAACAGTTTTTTAGTTCTAAAGTAAATGTAACCGCTAGTAGTTCTTGATTTTTGCTTTAGTTGATTAGAGATTTAAATTTTCAACTTCAATGATACTTCTGCCTATGGCTTTCTTGGCAATTAAATGGGTAGTAATGTAGAAACAAAACTAGAGGTCCCGGGGTCCTTGATCGAGTGTTTGGATTTAATTTAGTTGATTCTGATCCCGTAAGATAAGTTTCGGTTCTGACTGGCAGGGAGTTGCGTTTCATGTGTGTCTTCCGGCACAAATTTTGGTGGATGACCCAATGGATGGGAGCATCGGGGAATGAGATCCCCTTTGAGACCCAATTCCTAGTTGTTGAAGTGTGTCATGGCACTCGTCTTTACGCGGGAAGTAAAGATGAAGATGAAGAATCAATAGTGTATGCAGTTTTCTTGCCAATTCTTGAAGGTGATTTCAGGGCTGTTCTACAAGGGAATGAACAGAATGAGGTTGAAATCTGCTTGGAAAGTGGTGCGAAAAGCATTAATTTCGATTTGACATAATCTGAACTTGGTTCTCTTTACAATAGGAATTGCTGGTTATTTTCAGGAGATCCTGCTGTTGATAAATTTGAGGGCAGTCATTTGGTTTTCGTTGCAGCTGGATCAGACCCTTATGATGTTATCACCAACTCAGTGAAGTAAGTTTTGCTCTGGCTTCCATAAGACGAAATTTTGATTCCTTCAGCTGTAGCCTCAAATGAATATTTTACATGCTTATTCTTAGGCTTGTTGTAGAACCTTGTTTCTGAGCTAAGCAAACTTGTTCTTTCTAATGCACCAAAAAGTGTCAGGCTTTCTCTTAGCACAAAATGACTGATCAAGTTGTATTACAAATTAAACACAGGACAGTTGAGAATCATTTGCAAACCTTTTCTCACCGAGAGAAAAAGAAGGTGCTTTCTTTCTTATACTATACCTTCACGACTATTTATGCTACTTTCATGCCATTTTTATAATTCTAATTGTTTTCACGCTCATGGTTCAGATGCCTGACATTTTGAACTGGTTTGGCTGGTGTACATGGGATGCTTTTTACACCAATGTCACTGCTGAGGGTCTGAAGCTAGGATTAGAGAGGTTTTGCTTTTCTCTTTAGGGACACTGTATAAAATCATATGGTTCTTGCATCAGAGAAGGGAAGTGACTAGTAATTCTTTTGCAGCTTGGAGAAAGGTGGAACTCCTCCTAAGTTTGTTATAATTGATGATGGATGGCAAACAGTTGGTATGGATCCCACTGGCATCGAGTACAGATCCGATTGTACAGCAAAGTAAGTACTTGAAATTTGATGCATAACTAGTGTTCCTTCATTGGTCAAATAAATTCTAACCATTTGGGCTCTTTTTTTTTTTTTTTTTCTTTTTTCTAGCTTCGCTAACAGATTAATAGATATCAAAGAGAACCATAAATTTCAGAAAAATGGCAAAGAAGGTCACGGAGTAGATGATCCAGCAATGGGGCTTCGGTACGTTGTCAAGGAAATGAAAGAAAGACATACTTTGAAATATGTTTGTGTCTGGCATGCAATAACAGGATACTGGGGAGGAGTTAAACCTGGAATTACTGAAATGGAGCACTATGAACCCAAGTTAGTTTATCCTATTTCATCTCCAGGGGTTCAGTCAAATGATTATTCTGATGTTTTGCAGTCCATCACTAAGAATGGTGTTGGTCTAGTGAATCCGGATAAAGTTTTTGACTTCTATAATGATCTTCATTCGTATCTGGCATCTGCTGGTATTGATGGTGTCAAAGTTGATGTTCAAAGCATTCTTGAAACTCTTGGAGCAGGCCATGGTGGAAGAGTAAAACTCACTAGAAAGTACGGTCAGGCATTAGAGGCATCAGTATCTAGCAATTTCCATGACAATGCAATTATTGCTTGTATGAGTCACAACACTGACACTTTATATAGGTAACTATTCTAGTCAGATTATAATGTTATTGCAGGAACTCTATTTCTGAATTTTCATGAGTTACAATTTGTTTTTGCAGTGCAAAGAGCACAGCTGTTATGAGGGCTTCAGATGATTTCTTCCCAAGAGATCCTGCCTCTCATACAATTCATATTGCATCAGTTGCTTATAATTCCATTTTTATTGGGGAGTTCATGCAGCCAGATTGGGACATGTTTCATGTAAGCTAACAAGTTTTGATTATCTATTGTTTCCTTTTCAATTTCAAGATTTTCTCGAAGTTCTTGGAGGATAAATTCGAAATTAAATTAATTCTCGTGCCAGAGCCTACATCCAATGGCCGAATACCATGGAGCTGCTCGTGCAGTGGGAGGATGTGCTATTTATGTCAGGTGCAACTTTTGATCATCAATTCTGCTTGCTTTGATTTGACTCTAATCAATTGAATATGCGATTTCTTATATTGGATATTTTATGTTAATTATTGCAGTGACAAACCTGGACAGCACGACTTCAATCTGTTGAAGAAGCTTGTACTTCCTGATGGTTCTGTCTTGAGGGCAAAACTTCCTGGAAGACCAACTAGAGACTGCCTATTTTCTGATCCTGTCAGAGATGGAAAAAGGTGACGAACAAAATAGACTAACTATTTGCTAATGTCTTTTGGATGTCACCTTCCTCCCATAAGGAGAAATCCCTTCCCTCCCCCATATTTTTTGCTTATATACACTTTTAATTTTGCAGTCTTCTGAAAATATGGAATCTGAATGATTTTACTGGAGTCATCGCAGTATTCAATTGCCAAGGAGCTGGGTGGTGTGGGGTTACAAAAATGATGGTTAGCCATGATGAACAACCTGAAATAATCACAGGATCTATTAGGGCTAGAGATGTTGACTGTCTGCCTGAAGTAGCTGAGGATGGGTGGATTGGGGATAGCATCTTGTATTCACATCGTGGTGGTATGATATGCAGCTTTCTTTCATTCCTTCATACAATTGAACTTTGCAAAGTTATGGAGGCTATGCGCATCATGTTGGAATTCCTAATAAATTTTCTGTGATGTGGTCTGCAGGAGAGGTGGCTTATCTCCCAAGAAATGCATCTATGTCAGTTACATTAAAGCCCCGGGAATATGAGTTTTACACTGTCGTTCCTGTTAAGGAACTGCCCAATGGGGCTAAGTTTGCTGCCATAGGTCTAATCAAGATGTTCAATTCAGGAGGGGCCATCAAGGAATTGAAATATGAATCCGAGACAAATACAACTATTAGCTTGAAAGTTGGAGGCTGTGGCCTGTTTGGAGCCTATTCATCCACTCAACCACAAAGAATTATAGTTGATTCGCAAGAAGTGGAGTTTGAATATGAACGAGAATCCAGTTTGGTAACTTTTGCTTTAAGAGTCCCTGAGGAAGAACTGTACCTCTGGAACATTGTTATTGAGCTGAGGAGCGAAACACAATATCATTCAGCGGTATAGGTAGATTAAAAATTTGTTTTCCTTTTAAGCCCTTGTTTGATGATTGCCTACACAGTTCCAAATGACAGTTTCCCAATGAATGAAATGGTCAATTGTTTGTGTATGGATTAATTAATGAACCTTGTGTAACAAACTTTATGTTTAAATAAAGGATACATATCCAAATTCTAGAGCATAACCAGTTCATTTGCTTTTGAATGACTGATGATTCCTGTGTATTGCTAAATTGCTAGCTAGAGAAGGTTCTCGTTCAGCAAGTGGAAGAAAATGCGATTCAAGGGAAAATTAAATGCGCTGTTCTACTTAGCTACGACCTGAACCTTTCACAGAAAATATCTTTTAAAGGAGGATTATTCATTTTTTATGCTGATCATCTCTGAAAAAAGAATAAAAAACTATTTATGTAAAGACTGCTGTCCATCGTATTCAATCCTGGGGCCTGGCCTAGGACTTAATCTTCTTTGTTGAGATCCTGGGGCCTGGCCAGGGACCAATTATTTTTGTCTCCTGCTGCAATGGCAACAAGAAATGGTACTTTAACAAACATCAGGTTTCAGAAACCAACAAAACAAATAGTAAAACGGATCCTCCAAACCCGATACTAAAAGGACCCAATAAGGTTTATCAGTTCTGCAAAAACCTCCCTAAACCCCCACAGGTTTAAGAATTAAGTGAAAGCGAGAGACAAAGGCGCAATAAAAACAAATGTTTCAAAGCAGAGCGGTTGCTTCGATTCTGAAGAGAAACAAAGCCATACTCAATAGCTTAACATCCAATCTCAGGGGAACGTCTGCCTCTAGTGTTTTTACGTCTTCTTCTGCTGCATCTTCTAATACCGCTAATAAAGTTGCAAGGGCTTCTTTTATGGCTTTAGATCTCTGCCTAAGGTTCTTTTCTTTCTCAATTTCGATTCTTTATTCACTTTATTGAAATGGGTTTCCTTTTTTTCTCTTGCTTTTTTCTGTTTTAGATTTCTAATGGATCAATTGCAATTTACTTTTTTCTTCTTGGAAAGGATGTGGGTTTGAATTGATTACTGTCTTGTTGTATTTCTTTGTTGTTTATAGCGAAAGAGTTAAAATTTATAATTGACCAAATAAAAATTTTGTTCATTTCTCTACTCTTATACTGATATTGTGGTCTTGGTGGAAAGCCAAGTGAGTTGGATAATCCTATGTAGCTTTTGTTTGCATAAAGCTTTTGGAGTGTGGGATGAATGATGGGAATCCATTTAAATAAGAAACAGTCATCCTAGAACCTAAATATGAATTACATAACAGCACTTGGGAATAGTATTTGACTCATTCTCTCATTAAAGATGCATTCTCTGGCTCTGGTTTGAAGAATTGTTATTGAGAACGGCGACGGATTTTAATTGTCACTTGTGGAGAGGCTACATTTTTCTTTTATCAACCAGCATAAGTATTACAAGGTGAAAATGATGTTTCAAATTCCTGTTTCAACATGCAATTAAAGAAAGTTGTTTCTGCTGTAGATTCTCTCTTAAAATTATCTAGGAGGACAATGGTGGTATGCTCTAAGTGTTACGTGAATGTTATTAAAAGGAGGTTCTTTTATTCCTTTTAGGGACATAATGTGCCGTCTTTCAGGAATATGTCCACTGTGGCCTCTGTAGGGACCGTGTGAATGTGACTAAAAGGAAGTTCTTTTATTCGTTTTGGGGACATAATGTGACGTCTTTCAGGAATATGTCCACTGTGGCCTCTGTCGGCACCGAGAAGGAGGGATTGAAGCTACTAGTAACTGCAGGCCAACGTGCTCAGAAAAGGGTTGGAATATGGCTTTTTGGTTCTACTGCATGGGTTTTTAATATGGTGGTACTAGGTTGTGTCACACAACTAAGCCGATCTGGTCTTTCAATGACTGATTGGAAATTCACTGGGAACCTTCCTTCTCTATCAGATGAGGAGTGCCAGCAAGAGTTTGAGAAATACAAGCAATCACCAGAATACAAGCGGTACGAGCAAAAATGTCACATATATAAGCTACACTAATAGTAGTTTCACTTCTAAGTACTTGTACTTTGCAGCCCTAGGTAAACTTGTCCTCATAACTTAAAATTTTCCACCATAACTTACCTGGATTAATTAGTTGTAACTTGAAACCGCTATTATATGTTTAACAAACATTGCTAATCAGTGGGGGAAAATTACTATTCTTATTAGTTCTTCAAAGGCATATTCTTTATTAATGATCTACTTTTAATTTAAATAGCCTGTATCATGCAGAGTAAACAAAGGGATGAGTATTTAAGATTTTAAATTTATATACAGGATGGAATATGCACATCGAATGTGGGGGAGAGCTCTAGGTGTGATGTTTGCATCGCCATTCTCGTATTTTCTTCTTAAGGCATATATTACCCTGCGCCTTGGACTAAGACTCTCTGTTCTTTTTGCTCTTGGTACTGGTCAGGGTCTAATTGGTTGGTGGATGGTTAAAAGTGGTTTAGAGGTGAAAAGCAATTAGCTTTTTCCTATTTTCATTTTCACTTTTTGTAGTAAATCTGAACTCAACTTGGTAGGATATTGTTCACTGCACTGATGATTTCTTCTTACAGGAGCCAGCTTCTGAATATATTCGGCCTCGAGTGAGCCCTTACCGACTTGCTGCTCATCTTACTGCAGCATTTGTTATTTACAGTGGCCTGTTCTGGACTGCTCTTTCAGTTGTAATGCCTGAACCTCCTTCTCAATCATTAGCTTGGGTTCAAGGAGCAGCCAAAGTCAAGAGGCTTGCAATTCCAGTGAGCCTCATTGTAGGCATTACCGCTGTCGCAGGGGCAGTTGTTGTAGGAAATGATGCTGTATGTAGCCATTTTTGTTCATTTTCTTGCTTCTCTTCTTTCACAATAACCTTTTAATCTTTTCTGGTCCTTGCTGAGGAGCAATCCGTGTATGCTTTAATTTCTTGTGCCGTGCATGCAATACTTTTCCAAAGATGGAAGATGAATGGATTCCTGATAATATATTTGAATTGAAACCATTAATCCGCAACTTCTTTGAGAATACATTGACGGTGCAGGATATTTGTCCACTCTTCTATTTCCTCTTTGACTGTGTAAGCAAGTGACCTTCATGATCGTCTAGGCGATTGTATTAGTTGCTTGTATGATCGCACAGAAAAGGGAATTGAGTTAAACACAGTCATCAGTTAATTTGCTGAGGATAATCTGTTAAAAAGTATATTCGTCAAGCTGGAATTGTCACATAAAATTTGATTTTGTTCCTCTCGTTCATTTTACACCAATTGCTTCACGTTCAGAGTTATAACCTTTTGATTGAACACAATAATAATTTTAGTTCTGATAAGGTCTACTTAAAGATCTTCCGCTATATATATATTATCACTTCCAATATCTTCACAATAATAAGAAACTACTTTTTCAATAATAGATAGTATATGCTTTGGATTTTCCTGCTTGACCACCGTATCCTCGCAACTAACACTTTAATCTCAATTTCTGCTTTGCGGTGGTCAACCAGAAAGTTGGATATCCATCCGGCTATTCGATCTTTGGTTGGAAGCTAGGATTCAAATAGCGATGTAATAGCAGTATAGCAACTGCTATTTAGCAGAATCGGCACCCATTACCACTGTTATTCGATTAATATTAGGTGTGAAGAAAATTCACATATTTAACGATTTATTATGATTGAAAAAAATGACATAACGGCTAATAGGCGACAATAACAGGACGTAATTGGTGTTATTTTTTTTTTCATGAATTTTTTTTTCATTAGCATTAAAATTTCAAATTTGAACTAAGTAAAGCCCCAAACACAAAAAAAAAATCTTAAATTTATAATGACTTAGTAAAAAAAAGTTCAATAAAAAATCAAAAAAATTTATTGAAATAAAATAATAATAAAACACTTAAATTTACTTTTTTTTCTCTGTTTGTTTGTAAATTTGCGTTGTACAGGGCTTGGAAAAAAATTAAACTTTAAAAAGATTTTATTTGAAACTTTAAAATTTTAAAAATTCATCTATGAGCACTCTGTGAGTACTGTGGTTGAATCCAAGAAGTAATCAAATGAGTCGTTAGGTGCAAAGTTAGATGAAAGTGAAAGCTTGAAGGTTGGTTAGCTGTCGTGTAGTTGGTGGATGATTTGCGTAAAGCAAATATTGGGAAAAAAAATGAAAGAAGTTTGAGTGAAAAGATTTGGGGGTGAATTTTGAAAGAAATATTTGAGTAAAGTGGAGAGTTTGGTAGGCCAGTCGATGCTGCTTGATCAAACAAAAATATATATTTTTTTATAAATTTAGGGGTAAAATTTTGGGAAAAAATAATTAGATAAAATTAAAAAATTTTGAGAATTAATTTTGACTGAAAATTTTGAGATGAAATAGTTTAAAATAAATTTGAAATGTATATTATATCATACTTTAGATGGAAAAAATAAAATATTAAATGATTAATATATTGATTTGATTTTTTATTGGGATTTTATTAATGATTTTATTGTTTTAGTATTTGTATGTTGTTAATTTTTTTAATGTGAATATTTTATTATAATATTAAAAAATTGTAAATAATTTTTTTATATAAATAAAATAAGATAAGGTGTTATTAATTACTTTAAAAATCATGAAAAAAAATTTATGATTATAATTATAATTACTATATTTTATAATAAGTTGTGCAAATTTTAAAAAAATTTACGATCGCGATAATCATAATGGTTGCGATGATATCCATTATATCCGCAATCGTAATAAACGTAACGTAATCGAAAACGCATTCACGATTGTAATTTAAATCCTTGATTGGAAGCACATTTGGCATGGCTGCTCTTCAGGTAATTGCTTGCTTTTCCTAGGATTTTAAATCTTTTCCATGTAGAAAAAAAAAAGAGAAGGAACTTCGCAAATCCTGTTTTTCTTTTAATATATAGTTTATTATTAACTCTATATATTTTTTATTTCATTCTTGTAGGTAACATTTGGTATATCAACACTTCTATCATATGTACCTGTTTCATTTGGAACCGCACATCGGGCAGGAGCCTTAACCAGTTTGCCACTCGTGCTCCCGTTCAATCACACTGTGAGGAGGCCATCAATGTCCCTTCTGAAAACGCTGCCTTGGGTTGCAAAGACAGCCTGATAGCTATATATGGAGTCTTCTATGCATATTAGTTTAGATTAATTAAACACATCGATTTGTTATTCGATTCTCATTTTGTTCTGTATCAATCTCCAATTTTTTAAGTTCATGTTCAGGCCCAGAGTCCATTTTGATTGTCACAGGAAAAGCCAAATATGCTTTTCTTGCAAGGCATCTATTCGTAAAGAACAACTAATTTGCACTTCGGAGTGCTTGATTACTAGCGCTGACATAAAGTTTATTGAAAATCGTGGGAATTGTTGTCTCATTCGCAACTTCATGCAAACTGAACCCGTAACTACGTGTCTTTGAATGGAGTAATACCAGCCACATGGAGGAGCGAAAGCCTCACGCATAAATTCCTAGAAACACCTAAGCAGCACGTCTCTCTCACCTCTTCAGTTGTAAAAATGTCCGAACTCAATAAGCATTGTAAACAAAACCGACGAACGAAGGAAAAACGGGGAAGCATAGATCAATAGCAGATGGCTACCAAAAGCATGGTGAAACCCATAATGTCGCTGGCAGATCAATGATATGTGCATCACCGGCCGCTGTGGCAGTGAGTGACTGCACCACCGCAGGGAATAAGCTCGCCTCTGCTGTTGGTATTCAGTCCTTTGCTACTTTTAGTTGGTTTGGTCTTTGCGGGTGTCTTGGCTGGATTCGCGGATGCTGCGGCCATGGCTCTTGCCGGTGTGTCCACTCTAGCATGGATGTATAGAGAGGTTAGAGGTTCTTTAGGAGTTGGTTCCAGTGTGACAGAAAGGTTGGCTGAGTTGGGTGAGAGAGTGAAGGAGCAAGGGAAGGACTGGACTGGATATTTTGCAGCAACAGATGCAGGAGAATTCATCTGATACGTTGGCCAACAGAGTTTGACATGTGTAATAAAATTTGTGGTTTCTGCTCTCTCCTCTGCACCATCTCTCCCTCCCCACATCGGCTCTTAAAATCATGTGCGTTGTGTTCGCCTGTTTGAAAATGGAAATAAGTTGGTATATGTTGTAAACTTGTAGTTTCTTACTTTTATCTGTACGAATTCTGTGATGGATTAGAAGTACAGCTACAAATTTGTTTAGAAAACAACTACAATCACAACATTTAGCGTCCCATGTGTGCGTATGTGGATGATGTTTCTCGGACAAAAGATGTAGCAGTACCAATACGTTGCTAGTTTCTTTCTAAAAAGCTCAGTATTCAGCTTGTTTCAGCCTTTGCCTTTTCTTTTCTGGGTCCTATGTACGTACTCTGAAAAGTGGAAGGAAAATTAATCATTGATGTGCCTCCAAGTCAAGCAGCATCAATAACTCACAAACTTTGAAACCCTGTTTCTGCAGTTTTAACACTGAGTTGGGTTTTTAAGAAATTTCGTTCTATGGCTTTTATTAATAGAAACTAGAAATGTAATATAAATTATTTATTGGATTTCCTTTGTGAACATGTAATTTGCATTCAGAAGTCAGACCACAATTGCAATTGAAGTATGAAGAAATCATTAAAAATGCACCTCTACCATATACAGTTCATATTTCCTTCCATCTTGCATAGGTAGAATGCTCTATCTTTTATCTTGTTTTTTATTGCAAATTTGCTAGCTGTTGTCCTTTTGCTTTGCATGTGTTCTGGTACAGTTGTATTATTGTAATTATCAATTTACCAAAGATTCCCTTTTGTGTGGTTATTGGGTGGATGTTTGGGCGCCCACTGGACTTGAACTTTCAACTTTTTGAGACGGCAACTCTGCTCATTACTCTGTTATTCTTAGTTTGCACTTTGCAGGAAGGAACTGCTACTTCAAATGACTAATACTTCTTTTCAGCTATCTGATAGTGGCAGCAAGTTACTTTGTACATGAAGACCCATTTGTCCTGGTTAGTTAGTACTATTATTAGAGCCTTCATTTTATCATTAATTTAAGCCATGACAAACGAAACTTTGCAGATAAAAATTGATAAGCAAGAACAGCAGGATCAATTTGAAGCAGTGGCCTACACAAGAAGATACAAGTGATGGATTCATTTGTAAAAGCATTGCTGTACTACATGCATGCTGAATTGCGGATGCAACTGTGCTTTCATCCCAGAAATGACCAAATTATTCCATCCAGCTTTAGTTTGATAGCAGGGATTTAAATAGCAGTAGCAGTCACTTTTTTTATCGCGTCATATTTATCGTATTTTCGGATATAACGAAGATCATTATTGTTACTGCGATCATCGTGATCGTGAATTTTTTTTTTTTACATAATTTATTATAAAATGTAATAATTATAATTATAAAAATTCTTATTCAATGATTTTAAAAATAATTTATGACACTATGTTTTTTATTTTCTAAAAAAATTATTCACAATTTTATTTAAATTATAAAAAGCATTCATAAAATTTTCAAACATATATTTTTTATTTTTTAGTTTTTAATCTTAGTAAGAGTAATATATCATAAAAATTAAATTTATTAAATAATTTAATCTTTTTGATACACTAATTGATATAAATTTTTTTATCACAAGCAATTTTAAATAATTATATAATAAATACAATCTTCAACAATTACACAAAAATAACAAGAATTAATCTAATATAAAAAAAATTGATAATAATATAAATATAAACACAACAAAAAAAATTAAAATTCAGATACAAAATTATAAATTAATATGTATCACAATCAAAATATAATATTTAATTTTAATTATTTTTCATTTAATTTATGCAAAAAATTTATCAAAAAATTTCATCTAAAACTCTATATATATTATATTAAATTATTAATCTCTTATTTTTTAATTATAAAATTTCAAAACCTCTAATTAAATTTTATCAAAAAAAATTTCAAAAATTAATTATAAAATTAAATAAAAAATTCAATCCCCACCCCCGAATACCCCCACTACACCCAATCACTCCCCAACCGATCCAATGTCCCACCACACTTAATCCTTCTCCACATGCCAAATGTCCCTCAATTAGAAGCATAAAAAAACGTAGCTTGCTCTCTTTTGTTCAACTTCTTCCTTCTCCAAAATTTGACTTTTCAAATTTTTCTTTTTTTTTTCTTTTATTTATTTATTTTTATATCTTTTTATTATTATCACTTATTTAATTCCTATGAAATATTTTAATCATATTTTATTCAATAATAATGACAAATAATAATGTTATCGAAATTTTACTATCATTATTTCACTTTTAAATCATTATTTGAATTCTATTTGATAATATTAACTTCTTCAATTTTCAATCAAATGAAACATCAGATTATACGTGACGTGAAAGAAAAGACATTGCCTCCCCAAAATGATATAGCATATTTACATATAGTTTTGGAAGACACAATATGTAAAATTTTTTGGGTGGGTGGTACCATTTTAAGTAGTTAATTTATGTCATAACTGTCATAGGTTTAGATGTATGTGGTTGTATTTTCAAGTGCCTGCCTCCATTCCTGCAACGTGCAATAGCCGGCCGGCCAGCCCTCCATTCTGGTGGAAGAATAATATCAGAACAAGTACCATTGCAACATTTTTCTTCTTTGATGAAAAGCAATTTTGAAGAATCAGCTTGAGATCTCAAATCCAAATTGTGAGTCATACAATTCTGTAGTTGATAACCAATACCATTCGAATGGTGAAGTGAAGTAATTATTAGGGCAATCACGTCTTGTCTTGTCACCATCATCATCATCATCATCGTATAAAGACATTGTTTGATTTTCAATTGAAGCTACCCATTGGCAAGGCCGTCATTATCTTCTTAATTTTCAAATTTTCATCTTATATATGTTGAACAAATTTTGTAAAAAAGAAAAAAAAAAAAAAAAGCTCTTTGTCCTTAATTTGAAATTGAATTCTCTTGAACTTGAAACGATTTTATTGAAATTAAATATTCAATAGTAGTAGATTGAATTGATTCATCACCTGTGATAGAAGTTAGGAATAATAAGATGAAAATTACTTTTAATAATAAAAAAATTTATCTCATTTATTTGAGTGAAATTTTAAATTACATCAGTGAATTTTTTAAGATATATTAAAAAATAAAAATTAATATAATAAAAAATTATGTTATAAAAATATATATGATAGATTCTTAAAAATATTTGTAAAATTTAAAAATTTCATTGATAAAAAAAAAAAAACTCATAATAAAAGTTAAAAAGGGAACAATATTGAGTGCATTTTAAGTAATAAGTTTAGGTTTTTGAGGATTGATTGATCGATCGAATTAATGGTTTGTTAGGTTCCAAAGGGATTTTCAATGAATTGGATGAAAAATTGATGAAACCAATAAAAAGATAAATGAAAAAAAAAATAGTTTCAAGATTTATTTTATTATTTAATATTTTTAATATAAATAATAAAATTTGAATCTTTTAAATTTTTAATTTTGTGTTAAAGACTAAACCATTAAGTAACCTAAATACATACTATTTTAAGTATTTATCATATTTAATATGAAAATGATGAATTTAATATTATAGTTTCATTGAAATAGGAGTAATTAACCGATGAATGGTGAGATAGTTTTTGAAGGAGGAAAAAAAGAAAAAATTTGATTAATGACAGTGTCATAAATAAATAAATAAATATATTTATTAAATTTGATTAATGCATTGTTAAATGCAAGGCATAAAATATTAATAAAATCAATAGAGGCGCGACCCTGCGAAACTTCCTGGAAGCTGCAGTTTTCCAAGCCAACACATATTATTAAAAATCATAAGCCAACGGATTTCCTTACCAACCTTTTTTATTTATATTTTTCTAATAAAAAATTAAATAATATATTTCTTTTAAAATCTTGCTAAGAATAGGATCCTAGCACAGGCACAACACAACACTTTCTTGTCTTAATAATCTAATCTGAACTCAGCCCTTTTCCTCACATTATTGTTATGTTATCATAGATAGATTTTTTTTTTTTTTTCATTTTCTTCAACCTTCAAAAACACAAGCGTAGATTTTTTTCTTCTCTTTTTCTTCAACCTTCGAAAACACTAGCACTTCAAATTACTAGGAAAAAATACACGAGGAAAACGGAGAATCACAAGCTTACTATTCTACATATACCCCTCACCTAAAGCGGCTTTCATTTTAGAATCTGGTCTTGTTCCTACCCTCCCCTTTGAGGGTTCTCTTTCTTACCAAAAGAAAAATACCTTCGATTTTTCTTTTCGGTGAAGAAAAGTATTCACTTTCTTTTGTTTTTTGTTTCCTGGGGTTTTTTAATTCATACCCATTTCAGCAATTCCAAAGATTTGCAATAAAGGTTACTTCTTTCTCAGATCCGTTGCCGTTTCAGTCCTTTTGTTTCTTTCCTCTGTATTTTGGATTCTTTGTTAAGCATTGACATTGATATTTGATGCAATTTATGCACTTGAACAAAAACAAGAATAAAATTTTTTTCCTATTTTATTCTATTTTATGCTGTTGATTGTTTGGAATTGCATCCTTTAATAGTTTGTTGGATTGATTTGATGTTGTAGGTCTTTATTAGATGCATATAAGGCATGGAAATCAAAATCTTTAAGTTTGTTATTATAATTCGTAGACAAGTATAATAGAGGAATAAACTTGAAAGATGAGATCTTGATTTAGAATTGCATTAATTTATTACAATTTCTGGGTGTGTTAAGCATACTTTCTAATGTTATGGTTTTTTTTTTTTTTTTTTGGCACAAATTTCAGTTGTGCTTATGTTATTTAGATCTTGGGGAATTAAAACCCAGGCGCTGGATTTTGTGATGCTTTTTATGTTAATGGCTGTGGAGAACTTGTTACTCTTTTGATACGTGAAGATGGATTACAAGTTGCAAGTCAGAGTCCAATCCCACCTTGAAGTACGTTATTCTTCATTTTTTAATGTTTTGGTTGGGAGATATGCATTTTGATTTGCTAATTCTTTTGAGTGTTTTCGAGCCTCTATTTCTAATTTTTTTAGTGCTTATTGTAGCAGATGGGATCACTAGATGATAGGTCAATGGGTGATCTCGATGATGAGTGCCTCTATTCCGCTGAAATGGATGCTCAAAAGACACAGTCAACTGATTCGAATGAACAAGTATCGCTTTCTAGTAGTTTGCCTGTTGCTGGTAATAAAATGATAAGGAACGGTGTCTATAAGAGCATAAAGACTGTAGTTTTCTCAAATAAACTCAACTTGCTAATGCCGTTTGGGCCTCTAGCAATCCTGGTTCATAAGATGACTGCGCATAACGTGAGTTTTAGTTTTGATTCTCTTTCCTTGCTTGGTTTTCGTTTTCATTTAAGTTGTTTAATTGCTGAGGTGGATTGCAGGGGTGGGTCTTCTTTCTAAGTTTACTGGGTATAACACCTTTGGCAGAGCGTTTGGGTTATGCTACTGAGTAAGGATTCATATTCTTTAATTTGAATTTGGTCTCTTGATGCTACCCATTGCACTATTGACACATAACATTGCCTTTTCATTTGATTGAATTTAGGCAGTTGGCTTTTTACACTGGACCTACAGGTTTTTTTTTATCCTTAATTCTTGTTGACTTTTGTTATTTGTTGGATTAAGAAACTAGTTTGTTGATTTGAAAATGCTTGCAAGATGCCTTTTAAAGTGCTCATAAATTTCATGTCAGCAATGGTCTTTAATATGTTGAAATTAATTGCAGTTGGTGGTCTTCTAAATGCTACATTTGGGAATGCAACCGAACTGATTATTTCGATTTATGCACTGAAAAGTGGAATGATACGTGTTGTTCAGTTGTCATTGTTGGGCTCAATTTTGTCAAACATGCTGCTTGTTCTTGGATGTGCATTCTTTTGCGGTGGGCTTGTATATCCTGGAAAGGAACAGGCTTTTAGTAAGGTAAACATATTGGCATGTTGTCGGATTTTAATTCTTCTTTATTTCCTTATTTGGTCGCTCTAAACTGAAGTAAATTTACGTTCAGGCCACAGCTGTTGTTAACTCAGGACTGCTGCTAATGGCAGTCATGGGCCTCCTGTTCCCAGCAGTCCTCTACTACACACACACTGAACGGCATGCTGGGAAGTCAGAGTTGGCTCTTTCAAGATTTAGCAGTTGTATTATGCTTCTAGCCTATGCAGCCTATCTTGTTTTCCAGTTAAAAAGTCAAAAAGATCTCTATGTCCCTATTGGCGAGGTTGGTTATCATTGTTATTAATATCTTTTGAATATAATAAAGTACTTGCCTTGCTTTTTGTCTCCCAAGTATTTTGTGTAGAAAACTTAGTGTTGTGGCAAATGGTGTGATATCAGGAAGGAAGTCAGAATGAGCAGAACGCAAATGATGATGATGATGAAGCACCAGAGATCTCCAAATGGGAATCAATCATTTGGCTTGCAATCATGACTGCTTGGATCTCTATCCTATCAGACTACTTGGTGGATGCCATGCAGGTAACATTTGGTTTTTATCTTTCCTCTTCTTGGTTAATGATATGGATATGTTAAAATATTTGAGATCATAGGTCACTTATGGAATTAGCTTGTTAAATTCTGGAGCCATTACCAAATTAATCAGTGAATGTTACATCGTGCACTGGTGCTAAAATACTGGTTTGATGATATGCATCCACTTAGTGTCATGTTTAGGAGCAAACGGTTGGTAGGGTGGGCCTGAACAGGGAATGGGTGTCCCTTAGATTTGAAGCATACTTAAGGGATTTAGTCAAACCAATCCGAATAATGAACATGAATCCTTGACATGAATAGCATGTAAGATTGTTAGAGGTCCACATCTGCATGTGTTAACAGCCGATGTAAGTAGTTAGCACTTGGCAGTTTTTAAGATTGCTTTTTAACAAAATTATATTCTTAAAGGTATGTGCTGGTTGCTTTTATGTGATCTTTCTTTTGTTTGATTGTTGTTTCTCAGGGTGCATCTGAGGCATGGGGTGTGCCAATTTCATTTATTAGTGTTATCTTGCTTCCTATTATTGGCAATGCTGCAGAGCATGCAAGTGCTATTATGTTTGCCATGAAAAACAAGCTTGTAAGTGATTCTCTTACTGTTCATTTCATAAAAATTTTATATCCTGCTAATTAATTGAATTTCTCTGCAGGACATATCCTTGGGAGTGGCAATAGGGTCATCAACTCAGATTTCTATGTTTGGGGTAGGTGCTGTACATTGGATATGCCCAATTTGTATTAATGTTATCACATTATGTCATATACTGTCTGATGTCAGGATTTGTTGGGTTTACTTTTGATTTTATTGTTTGATTGCCTTAGCACCAACTACTGAAGCACACATTTTTCATTCTTGTATGTGTATCTCTTAGCTAGGGTGGTTCTGTGATTGTCAGTTATTCAGCAATCTCCACTCTTTTTATATGACAACTTCTAATGATTTGGAGTGTGAAGTTGAAACTAAGCCATTTGTTTTTTATTTTTATTTTTATTTTTATGGCTAATGTGTTGTTTCTTTTGCCTTGGTTTTCTAAACCTTTATCCTCGTTGAATCTGCAGATTCCTTTTTGTGTTGTTATTGGGTGGATGATGGGGCAGGAAATGGACTTAAACTTCCAGCTGTTTGAGACGGCAACTCTGTTCATAACTGTTATAGTTGTAGCCTTTTTTCTGCAGGTTGGTAGATGAAGAATGCAAGCAATCTTCAAATATGAAAAGGGGAAAAAAAAAAAAAAGATGAGACTTTGAATACTAGTTTAGGCCAGAAGGCATTGGGAAGTAAATGAAGTAAATTTTTTTATATTATTTTTTGCTTTTCTGCAGGAGGGAACGTCTAACTACTTCAAAGGACTAATGCTTATTCTTTGCTATCTGATAGTAGCTGCAAGTTTCTTTGTACATGAAGATACTTCTTCAAGTGGTCAGTTTTCCATTTACTTTGCTCCTAATCTCTCTTTTGGTTTCTCTTTCATGGCTGTGCTGTAATTAATTCAATGTTACAGGTGAAAGCAAGCAACCGAAGACGTGATCAATGAAGCAGTTGAATTAAGGGGCGGAATTTTGAACCTGGATAGAGAAAAGGCCTTGGATCCAAAGAACTTTGTCCCACAAGCTGGTGTAAATATTTTGTTTCCAGATATTCCATTTTTCCAGCTGCTTATGCTTGTTCGGTTAATATTATTGAACGAGGGTCTTGTTCCTTATGTTGTTCTACCTTTCGATGTGGGAAGATGGCGAATTAGAGAGAGACTGTGTATACAGTAGGGAAGAAAAGGATTCTTTAAATTTTGATCGTGTTACGGAACACTAATTCTTGTGAACATCAAGGGACTGCATGCAATGAAATCGTTTCGTTGGTTTTCAATTTCTCTATCACTCTTGTGTATTGCTCAAGGATTCATAGCCAGAAATTGAATCCTTGAGATATACATGGGAGGGAGAGGGAGCAGTCATCTCTAACTAGCATAGGATTAATTAAGACACGAACCCAAGTACCGTGTAAAAGATGGATTTTATAGCAAGTTAAGTATAAATGTAAAAGTTTCATGTGAAACCTAAATACCTTCGTTTTTTCAGGAAATATTCATGAGAATTTGAGGTAATTTGAAACTAAAACGCAAATTAAGCTCCCAGCCGATGAAATGTTCACGAGACTTTGGATTAATATTTCAAGATATGATACAACTAGCTTGCAAGTTGAAAACAACTTTGGCAAATATCGATGGACCAAAATAACAAATGGCCCAAACCGAATCCCATCCAAACTTGATTCAACGGGCGATGGCTCTAAAAGTTGAAGTTATTCAACGGGAAATTTGGATTTTTCAAATATATGATGCAACAAAGGAAAAGAAAAAAAAAAACTTTATTTGTCAATCTGACATCTATTCACAATGTGTGAATTTTGCGTGCTTAAACGCTACAGAATGCAATTATTTTTTAGTTTTCTTTTTTTTTTTTTATAGTAAAGTGAAATAACAATGTTAGAATATTATATCAGCTAATAAATCTGGTAAGTTAACTCACCTAACCTTCAATTACGTACAGGAAATAAAGCATCGTGAGTTGACATTTCTTTTCGTTATGTTTGAAGAGATAAAATATCTTGTTTCTTTTGCTTTCATTCTTGAGCATTGCCTATTGGAAAACACAATAACAATTGTTGTCGAATCAAAGACATCGGACATGGGTGAAGAAGAAGAAGACAACCAGTCTCCATTACTGCCCAGTTCTTCCTCAGGTGGAGTATCAACAGTGCCCGTCAAAAGAACTGGTATGTTCAAAATGACCCTTTTTCTCTTTTTTTCCTTTTCACTGTGACTCTATGGATAGTTCATAGGTTTCATATCTCAATATTGCAAGAAAAAGAAATTAATTGATCTGATAAGACCCTTTTTATTTTCTTATCAGTCATTAACTAATGTTCTGATGACTAGGAGAAAGTGTTTTCCTTATTTCCCAGTTCTTACTTTCCTAGTTCGTCTTTGCAAGCTTAATGAATAAAAACGTTAGTTGATTCTGCAGATGTTTTAATTAGTTCTTTTTTTGAATTCAAGTGTTCCTACATTTATTTTATTACCAATGCTGATTAACTTGCAAATCCATGATATTTACTGCAGCTTAACTTCAACCTGTAAGAAACTCAATTAAAATTATTAGTCATGTAAAACATCTTTACTCAACATCTGCCTTCTTCATAATTAGTTCAATTAGTATTTCTTTTGGTGAAAGAACTGCCCAAATCTGCCCAATCTTTAGTAGGCAGATTTTCAACCACTTTTGGAAATTGGTAGTATCTTCCGTAAAAGCAATCAATCAATAATTTTCTTTTTTATTTTCCATATATATATATATATATATATACAGCTAACTTATTTATTTATTTGACGTGTGATTGTAAAGGGACTATTTGGACAGCAATAGCACACATCATAACAGGAGTGATAGGGGCAGGAGTTCTATCCCTTGCGTGGAGCACTGCTCAACTAGGATGGATAGCAGGCCCAATCTCCATGTTTGTCTTTGCAGGCATTACTCTTGTTTCTACCTCCCTTCTGTGTGACTGCTACATGTATCCTGACCCTGAACACGGCCCCAACAGAGTCAAATCTTACATGGATGCTGTCCGTTTGTATTTGGGTAACCAAATCCTATTCTTTCATCTATCCCAGCCATCACTAGTTTTCAGTCTCTAATTCTAGATTATTGGTGATTTATAGGTGTGCTTTGGAAATTGGAAAAAGGAAAGAAGAATAGGAATCAGAAAAAATAAATAAATAAATAAATTTTGGATATATTTGACATAATAGAAAAAATGACATATTTCTTCCTTGTTCATAAATTTCAATTTCCAAAGATAATAATAATAATAATAAAAATACTACTAGTATATTTTAAAAGATAAGATTGCTTCTTGGATTAAACTTCATTAGTTAGGCTACTCGTCTTCTCCAAGTTTATTAATGTACTACTATATATGCAGTGCTTCTGTTTCTCTTTGATACAAGAAAATATTCTCTAATTCTTTTGTATAGAAAAAGATGAATATCTTGAGAAGCCCAGCACTAAAATATTTTGATAATGGGGGTAGATTCATATTGAAGCAAAATTTTTAATGCTTCAGTCCCAATAATGGAAATGCAGGCTTACCCATTTATGGTTTCTGTCTAACTATACATTGCAAATTTGATGGTAATTGTTTCTAAGTTTGAACTTTAGAAGAATATATGTATATATATAAATATGAAAACATGGAAAAAATTGCATTCATTGCAGGAGAGAAGAATCACAAAGTTTGTGGTGTAATTGCTCAGGAAAGCTTGTATGGGACTGCCATTGCCTATGTTATCACCTCTGCTAGCAGCATCAAGTATGATTCTATTCTTTCTGTCTTTAATTAATTTTTTTATATATATATATTTATATTTATGATTCAGTAGAGAGTAGAGATCCATCATTGATGTGGGTGTGGCTGTCGGTTCTTCTTCTTTTGAACATGCATGTACTTGCATATGATCAGTTGCCTTGACCCAACGTTCCTGCTAATTACTATCCTTAAACTTCATGGGTTTTAATTATAAAAACTTTTTCACCACATCAAGAAGTGAAGAACAAAAAACGTTACTTATCATCAGACTTAATTTCATCATGCTTTCTCTCCTCTCGTTTCAAAGATCTATAGCGGTCTTGGTTTGAACTTTATATGAGATACGCCTCTTGTTTTCCAAAAGCACAAATAATTTTTTTCCATGCACAAAATGAGTACCAACTACAGACTATTTTATTATGTATTGATCTTGTGATGCAATTCTGTGGATATATAGATGAATGGAAAATTGCAGGGTTTTCTTAAATGTTCAATTTAATCTTCTTATATATATATATATATAAACTTTGTCCAAGGGTCCACTCCATGCTTTCATTTCTAGTGGGCTCAAATCAAGTGGAGCTGTGATATGATTTTTGGGATTTTCTTCATGGACAAAACCATTAGGCTATTTGTACCCAAACGAAACATTGGCCCTCTTATTGTTGCACGGACATGACAGCAAACATTGCAAGTAATGTTGTGACAATTGGGCCATCATGGGCTTTTCCAATCAGCCTTTTTTTTTCTTTGGGGGTCCAACCTTCTAAATCAACTTTGTTTACGTATGTATTTATTCAGGAGGCTTACGAAAGCCCACAAAAAAATTAAAGAGGGGTAGAGTTTATATAAGGCTGCGTCATTGCATGGGATGGATTATATGATTTCCTTTCATTGTCTCTCGTTCTCGTTCAGCTTGAATACGACAAGCAACAACTAGGCTTAAGATGATTAATCTAGTCTGACCTAACATGCAATCAGGATACCATGAATTAATCTAAGCTTCTTGCCGCTGGATTCAAAGTGTCAAGATTTCAACAGAAATGAAAGGTACATGGGATGAAAAAGCTTTTGTTTTGAGTAGACTAAATTAAGAACACGAAAGTGTATTGGAGAAAAAACAGGTGAAAGTTACTCGATCCGGAGATTCTAAAGCTATATATGGTTGTTGCACTGACCCTGCCCCTATGAGCTAACCAGGGTCCGAGTAACTGCAACAAACTAGAATGACAGACCATTGCTCAATTATATATTGTGAAAAAACTAAGAAATAAATTAGTGTGGAAATTGAATGTATGTTGGAAAACTGCTTATTGAGAATTATACAAGAAGTTTAGGTTTATATACAACTAACTAGGGGTTAAACTAGGAAACTAAATCTTCCTAAAAAACTAATCCTATAATTGAGGGATTATCTATCCTAATTTTAGAGATACAAATACTTAATTCTAGAGATACAAATATAAATATACAGATTACAAGATTACAACCAGCCGTAAATAAGTGTTTTCCCACATATATACATGGGAGGGCCGAAACTAATTTGACCGGAGAGATTGTCACGTTGATGACAAACACCTGATCCTTGGTCATTCTTTGTGGTTTCCTATTCCATGTGTTTATGATTACTTCAAGCTGTTGCTAACTTATGTGGGTGGCAGTATATATACGAACTAACTAGACTGAGAATCCTAGAAGGTGGTATGGATTTGATGGATCTATGTCTATATTATAGAAAATGCCTCATGATTCATGAATGAGGTTCACTCAATTGATTTCCTATGACCAAAAACCAACTCAAGAGTCAAGATAATAATGGAGGGGATGAAATTAATGTATTTCAGGGAGAGAAGGAAAAGATATACTAGTAATACATCATATATAGCTTTTTAGTCTCATGACGTATGCTGCCACATTTAGTTTTCTATTGAATATGGCCTTAGACCCTTTATATTGGGCATACAGGTGGTAAATTTTTTACCAAAATCGATAGCCTACTTTGAAGGACTGGATTACAATGGCAGTTCAACACTCCCTCAAACTGGCTAATGGCACCTGTAACGATGATGGACATCCTTCAAGAACTCGTATCGGCGATTTTAGGACTATTGCATTTTATTTGGTATTATGCTGTTGTTTTGGTCCAACCTTTAATTTTACGGTCTGTGGGAACTCAATCAGGAACCTTGTGGAGCTGTGTGGCTCACATAATCACTGCTGTTATTGGCTCTGGAGTTGTGTCTTTGGCATGGAGTACTTCACAGCTAGGATGGATAGCAGGGCCTACTGCTCTGCTTATTTTTGCTGTTATCACCTGTCTTTCTGCCTTCCTTCTTAGTGATTGTTATAGGTCTGATGACGGAACACGAAACAAGTCTTACATGGACGCTGTTGAACTCTATCTTGGTAGCTAAAAACTAAACTTTTAACTCTTTTTCTTCTTGCTAAAATCCTCTCTAGTTTCCATTGTTAGGATATACAGATGTAGTTCTTTCATCCTTCCTATGGAGTCTAATGACGGATAGTTCAGGTAGAAACAGGACATGGGTGTGTGCTTTGCTTCAAAACCTCAGCTTGTATGGGATTGATATTGCTTATGTAATTACTACTTCAAACAGTATAAGGTACTTGGTGAATCCCTTATTTTCCCCATTATTTATCAGCACTTTGCAGTGGAAAGTGCAGAAATGTATTTGGTATTTAAGAAATCTTGAGGACACAACTCTATCTTTTCTCCTTTCTGTTTTCCACCTTATAATAGTTACTATGTATTCATTCTTCTAGAATGCCCCTTGCAAGATTTATTTCATGTGGCCATCTTTAAATTCATCTATTTTGTCCCTTTTAATCCCTAATCCTTGTGTCTGCTTTTCTTTCCTGTTAACTGCAAATGGCTTTAGATTGATAAGGATCCTTAAGCTTAATTCTTTTATGTTTATTTTGTTTTTGGCCTAATACAGAGCAATTCAGAAATCAAACTGTTATCACAGAGAAGGGCACAATGCTCCATGTTCATATGGAGATACTTACTATATGCTGCTATTTGGAGCTCTTCAGGTTGTAATGTCACAGATACCAGATTTCCAGAACATGGAATGGCTTTCAGTGGTTGCTGCAATCATGTCCTTTACTTACTCTTTCATAGGATTTGCACTTGGGTTTGCACAAGTGATAGGTATAACTGTGAATTTGCCTTTAATTTTCCACTTATTCAAACTTTATGGTGCCCTACTAGAAATTCGAATTCCATATTTCTATTATTGATTAATGAGACCTGAGAAGATATGTTATATATATCTTAACACTCATGTTTCTATTATATTTCATATTTCATATTTCAAATTCCATATTTCTTTTATACATCTGTATGGCACTGATATAACTATCAAACCAAATCAAAACACCGAACAGGAATCTATAATTCAAATGTTAAATTTTGTTTTTAATATCTTAAGTTTATTAGACAATGAAAATCATAACTAGAGTATGAATTTGCATTAAGACTCATGTTTCCAATTGCAGAAAATGGAACGATTAAAGGGAGTATAACTGGAGTGCCCACTGCCAATATTGCTGATAAACTATGGTTAGCATTCCAGGCCCTTGGAGACATTGCATTTGCCTATCCATATTCAATCATTCTTATAGAAATACAGGTATGGCTTCATTTCTTTTATAAATGAAACAGGAATATGGACAAAAACAAGATATTTTCACGATACCTGAGATGTGAAGCATCACAAATTTAGGATATAAACTGAACCATAAAATTGTTTTACTGTAGGATACTTTGAAGTCACCACCACCGGAGAACAAGACCATGGAAAAGGCCTCAATGATTGCAATCTTTACTACAACATTCTTCTACCTCTGTTGTGGATGCTTGGGATATGCTGCCTTCGGCAACAATACACCTGGAAATCTCTTGACAGGATTTGGATTTTATGAGCCTTACTGGCTCATTGATTTTGCTAATGCTTGCATAGTGCTTCACCTTGTGGGAGGATATCAGGTACGTTCATGGTGTATTGAAATTCCTCAAATTTTGGAGCATAGCTCTGTGATTGACAATGTGAATCTTTTCTGATAAAGTCGAATGACAAGGAGAAGAGCACGTTGGCAAACTTCTTGAAAACTTAAATGGAAGTTACAAGGATTATATAAAATTTGCTTAGAATCATGTTTCACCTAATATTTTTCCTGTCAGATTTTTAGTCAGCCAGTGTTTGCATTTGTGGAGAGATGGTGTACCAAGAAGTACCCAAGCAGTGGATTCGTGAATAACTTCTATACGTTCAAACTCCCATTGTTGCCTTCATTTCAGATAAGTCCCTTGAAGCTATGCTTTCGAACAGCCTATGTTGCATCGACAACTGCTATTGCAATGATCTTCCCATATTTCAACCAGGTATTAGGACTGCTAGGGGCATTGAACTTTTGGCCTTTGACTATATATTTTCCCGTGGAAATGTACTTTGTGCAGAAAAAAATTCAACCCTGGACCAGAAAATGGATTATTCTTAGGAGTTTCAGCTTTTTTTGCTTGCTTGTGTCAATAGTGGGCTTGATAGGGTCGATTCAAGGACTTATTAGTGCAAAATTTGGATAATCGCATTCTTGACTGCAAAGAAAAACTATATAATACGTATACTTGAATGTATTTCATGGAAACAGCGAATGTAACTCTAAGCTTGATATTGGATTTTACAGACATATCAAGCTTTTCAAAATACAGCTAAATCTACAAATATGTTAAGTTCTTCATACAAGCAGAAAAGAATGTTACATTCAGCTGTCAAATTGTGTTCAATGATGGTTAACCTACGTTGAAATATAAATGGTTATAAAATGTGGATAAAAGAGAAAAACATATGAGCAATTCGACATGCACAAACTGGTAGGGCGGTAGCTCCCCATGGTATCAAAATTAATTGCTTTCTTTAAGGAAAAAAGGAAAGTTGTTCCTATCAATCAAGGAGAATGAGAGTTGTCATCCTTTGACGTCCCAAAAGCAAGTATAAAATATTCTTGGAAGAAGAAAAGTCAAGCACCAGGGGACAAGTGGCGTTAGGTTATGACTGAAACTAGAATGTGACAACAGTAACAGTGATAAAGACGAGGAAGGAAGATGCCCCGTTCGGCTGAAAGACTACTGAATTAACAATAAACTAAATGTTGACAAGCCAAGAAGACCAAGTACTAGGCTTTTACATGGAATGGCAGCCATATATCTATGTTTGTTGGTTTTGTAATTTGTATAAAGGTTTGAAAAAAGAAACCTTTGATATCTGAGGCATTGATAGACACTCAGATAATAGCAAAGAACACATGCAAGCCTCTAAGCATACACGCGATTAGCTTGTTCCTCATCTATAGATTCTCTAGAAAACTCATGCTTTCTTTGGTCTATGATCCTCTTCATGCCAAGATTACCAGCCTTGTTAGCCAAAGCAGCCAAATCTGCTCCAACAAACCCTGTTGTAGCCCTAGCTATTTTCAAAAGATCAAAAGAGCCTTCAAATATAAGATTTCGTGTAAGCACAAAATGTATCTAATGCCTGTTAATGATATTCTAATAATATTTTGATAATATTCTAGATTGATGATATTATTTTAATAATATTATAGTAATTTTTAGATTGATTTGATATTAATTTAGAGAATATTAGATATTGATTAAGTAATTATATGAATTGATTTAATTATTATTTTTATTATTGTATTTTCTATTTTGTAACAGTTTAGCTTATTCTCATCATTGGTTTATTCTCTTTTTTAAACTTCATTTTTTTTGCTTTCATGCTTCAATTTTTTGCGTTTCTCTTCCCATCTTTAAGATTCCTCTTTTAGATCAATATTCATAACTTCTCAAATTTCAATTTTTTTCAAAAGCTTAATGGCAGGTATTCAACGAGAAAATGTACAACTAATTTCCATTATTCTTGATGAAAATAACTACAATAGATAGGTTACAGCTGCGCGTAGTTATCTAAAAGGAATAAATTTATGACTTGTTACTGGAAAAGGCAAAGCACCAGAAAGAAAAAAAGAAAAATCTGACGATAAATTTGTAGATCGACTAGAGGAATATGAACTTAAGAATCATCAAATTCTGATATGGTTCACCAACACCACTGTTTCTTCTATCAATGTACATTTTGAGTGATTTGAACTTGCTAAAGATGCTTAAGATTTTCTTGTCACACGATATAACTCTACTACTCTTGTTCATCAATATCATATTTTAACCACTTTATTTTATCTTCGTCAAGAACCAAGTCAATAAATTGATGATTTTCATCCTAAAATGCAACATTTATAAGACTTGCTTGACAATTCTGAGCCAAAATACAAAGATGAAAATGATACTGGTAATTTTATTACTTATCAAAATTAAATTCATCTTATTCAATTTTTAATAGCACTTTAAGATGAATTTGAGATTATCAAGTCTTTACTTTTGCACCGATATACCTTACCAACTATGGATAATACTTATATGGAATTGATATCTAAGGAAACTTGATTGGGTATAAGTTGGACTTATAGTGTTGATACATTGTTGTTGTTGCTCCTCAGAAAAGTACTAGCATTACTTTCCACAAGTTTTATGTACGATGTGGGAGGACTAATCATCCCGTTTAGAAATGTATAGCTAAATATCATTATAACGGTAGTCTAATTCATGACCTTCGCACTAACAAGACTGCTGCGGTAACAACCACTAAACCAAACACTTCTAAGTCTTCTTTTGAGATCATTACAATCTCCACCATTGATTTTTGAACTTTATTCAATCAAGTATTATCTTGATCTCATGCTCCTACCATGTATGTTGCCACATCAGGTAATATTTGGTTATTTGATATTGCCTATAAAAATCATATGATTGCTAACCTTTCTTTATTCAAAAGCAAGATACATGTACCTAATGGTTCAATCATTAAAATATCAAATGGATCTGTCTTAAAAGCTAGCAACAATGGTATTATTGAAATATCAAAAGTATGTATATTTGACACTTACTTTGTTCCTAATCTTGCTTTAAAGTTACTTTTTGTTGGCCAACTTTGTGACCTTGGTCTTGATTTGCATTTTTCACAACAATATGGTTGTATTGTATAGGATCCTCAAATAGGTCAAAAAGTTAAGACAAAGCGTAAGGTTGAAACACTGTTTGAGCTTGAAACTTTGAAATTTTCATAACATTTGCTTATTGCTACTGCATCTCAAACAACTAACTCTTTAATTTTTTTAGATTTAAAGCATTTTAGGCTAAGAATTGTATCTTTTTCTCGAATAAAGTCACTTGCTTTAACCGGCATCTAAAGTAATGTTTTTCATGATATTTTTTATTGTTTGTCTTGTCAACTTGGAAAGCAAAGTGCTTTATCTTTTAATAAAAGTGATTTTATCTCATCTGCTCATTTTGATGTAGTCCATTATGATATTTGGGGTCCAGTTCCTATACCAACTTTAGGAGATTCATGTTACTTTGTTATATTTATTGATGATTTCTCTCGTTATGCTTGAATATATTTATTCAAGCAAAGAACTGGACTTCTATCCATTTTTTGTGAATTCAATAACATGATATAAACTCAATTTTTAGGTTTAACAATGCTACTGAATATACAAAAATTAAGTTTCGTAACTTGTTAAAGGATGATGAGACTCTTCCTCATAGGTCTTGCCTATATACTTCATAATAAAATGGTCGAGCAAAAAGAAAATATTGTCATATTCTTGACACAGTTCATGCTGTTCTCATTTCTTCTTTTTTTCTTGAACATTTTTAGGGTGAAACTACTCTCACTGCTATTTACACTATTAATCGTGTTTCTACACCAGTATTAGGCACACAGTCTCCTTATGAGTGTTTATACACTAAGATACCTAATTATCATTCTCTCAAAATTTTTAGATATACTTGCTTTATTTTACTTCTTGCTCATGAAAGGACTAAACTTGAACCTAAAGCTAGATTGTATTATTTTTTGGGTTATGATGTAAAACACAAAGGGTATAAGTGTTATGATCTAGTTTCTAAACATCTTTGCATCTCAAGACGTGTAGTTTTTTGGAAACATAAAAAGTTTACTAACATGTCCTCATTATATTGACCATGTTCCTCTCTGTGTATTTTTATAGATTCATTTTTTTATTTTTCTTCAAATAAAGAGACTATTATAGGTATTTTTTACTCAAACTATGATCCATCTTCTTTCACTTTTATTATGTCTGGTCTGACTAAGACTCTTATTGATGCAGTTGTCCCTTTCCTATACATATCACCTCCATTTCATCATTTCACTCAGGTAAGGGAACCCAACACTCAACTTCATAATTTTCACTGTTATTATGCTTTAGCCACGTTACATGAACCTCACAATTTTCGTGAAGCTGTCTCTAATCTTATGTGGTAGCAAGCATTGGCAAAAAAGCTTCAGGCTCTTAAAAAAATTTATACTTAAGATATTATTGAACGACCTTCTGATAAGTCAGTGATTGATTGTAAGTGAGCCTATAAGATCAAGACTAGATCTGATGGGTCAGTAGAACATTACAAAGCTCATCTTGTTGCTCGAAGATTTATACAAGAATATGATATTGACTATAAAGAGACTTTTACCTCAGTTGTACAACTCATATCTATTCGTTCACTATTAGTTGTTGCTACAGTTAGAAAGTGAATAACCTTTTAAATGGATATTAAAAATGCCTTTTTGAATGGTGATTTTGCCAAGAAAATCTATATGAAGCCACCTTCTAGTTCATCTGTACCTTTCAACATGGTTTATCATATTCGATGTGCTTTATATGGTCTTAAGTAAGCCCCTAAAGCTTAGTTCTCGAAGTTTAGTATCACTATTGCACAACTTGATTTTACATCTAGTAATCATGATTTTGCCCTTTTTACTCGAACTACTCACAATGATACTACTCTTCTCTTATTTTATGTGAATGACATGATCATTACAGGTAATGATGCAAATGGTATTTAAGATCAGAAGACTTTTCTTCATTCTAAGTTTGAGATGAAAGATCTTGGTCCTTGGAGTTATTTTTTTGGGCCTTGAAGTCACTAATGATTTTATTGGTTTATATTTGTCTCAAACAAAGTATGCTTCTGATCTTATTGCTCAAGCAAGTTTAACTGATAGCAAGATTACATCATCACCACTTAAACAGAATTTGAAGCTTTCTTTTTATGATGGTACACCATTTTCAGACCCTTATTTGTATTGAACTATGGTAGATAGTCTCATATACTTGACAGTTACTTGTCCAGATATTGCATATGCTATTCATCTAGTTAGTTAATTTCTGTCTACTCCTCAATCTACTCATTTTGTTACTATCCTCTGGATCCTACAATATGTCAAAGGTACTATGTTCCATGGTTTGCATTTTTCCTCTAGTTTCTCTTTGGACTTGCATTGTTATTATGATGTTGATTGGGTAGGAGATCCTACTGATCGTCATTCTACCATAAGCTATTGTTTCTTTCTTGATTTTTTTCTTATTTCTTGGTGAAGTAAAAACAAACTGTGATGTCCTACTCTAGCACTAAAATTGAGTATCGAGCTCTTGTAGATGCCACATCAAAACTTTAATAGTTACGATGACTACTTCAAGATATGAGTGTTTCTCATCACTCTAGTACTCCTATATTTTGTGACAATCAAAGTGCCATTCAGATAGCTCATAACGATATTTTTCATGAGCGTACTAAACATATTAA